TGCCACGCAGACAACCCCAAATCTATCCTCACCCAAGTCCCCGAAGACTTAATGGGATGTCTTTGATGCCAGCCTCTTTGCTGTTAAAAACAGGTGTCTTCGATCAATAACCCTCTAGAAACGTCCTCCGGGTTGACTTCCAAGTTCGGAGACACACCGCGATCCACTGGAAGTCTCCAGCTTACTCAGTCCGAATCCTTTTTTGGCGGTCGTGACAAACTGCGTGTATCTTCGGGTCCCGAAAGACCGTAATTGCTTTTGGAGGATATAATCTCGCAGGTCTACCGCGTCGGTGACGGAGGTCGATTAGGTATTGAGATACCTACGTGTGTTGGTCTTTGGTATCTGGCCGAGCAGTTTCCACTCGACGGCCTCTTCATCTTCCTCGTATTCACCCTTTTCATGCTCCAGCGCGGAATTCAATCTCAATTCCTCCAGAGTCAACGGGTGTTGCTTGTGATGTTGGGCCCAAACCAATCACTACAAACTAGCGCCGACGTCAGTGACTCATTCATCATATTTACGCTGTCTGTATCGTCCCAGGGGATGGCATTGCTGGATAGTGTGCTTCGGAACTGTAAAGCCACATTGGCTACTTGCGCAATGTTGTGATATAAGGATGTCAAGTTGCTATGGTTTGAGGAAATCTATGCCCAGGATAACAATAGGGATCTGCTTGAAGGTAGAAAAGGTAACACTATGCGGTGGTGATCATTGGATCCATGAACGGTGATAGAAGAATCGATTTCGTCTAATTGTTCTATATACTATGTTTTGCAACCTACTCCGATAGCTCGGTTGCCCAGTGGTTGAAGTGCGACAACGTTTTCTGTGGCATTCATTCAAGAGACTCAACTTTTGTCGTCAAGTGGGAGCCATCGGACGAGACTTGCGATGAGAAACAATTCTTGAAGAGCTCTTGCAACGATTTCCAGTCGGTGCGTTTGCACGATGCCAATTTTCGATACCAATTGCGTGGTCTACCCCGCAACCCCGCCGAAGTAAGATCGACGTCTTCCTCCACATTGTTTGCACAATATCTTGCCTCTAGCAAGATATCGTCACGATAGCCTTGGGAATCACCACCCTGCAATCATTTGAATGCTATCATTTTCCCTGTTGTCAAAGCCATCTTGCCGGCATGGCTTGCATCGTTTGTCAGTGTTACACACTTCTGATCTGAAGATCGGCCTTCGGACAACTTGTGCAATTGGTTCTGGCTTGGCCTCTTTCTAAATGGTAAGAACAGGGTTGGCTGCTTCATCCATTCCAACTTTCCTTTGCTTTGCATGGCGTCGAATGTCGTGTCGAGGAATTTACGATCCTCTGTGCCGAGAGGATATGCTGATCCCGGTCTAAACTTGTCTTGCCAGTCGTCGACCTGTATGGCGTTCTTAGCACACACAGTTCTTATGTAATGCCATGTGCATTTATCCGCAAGATTCTATCATATATAGAGTATAATAGAGTCGCCTCGTATTTTCCAGTTAGGTGCGTATCTCTTTGGATGATGGATATCCATAAGACACTAGATCGACTCATTGAATATCTCTGAGAATTCGGGAAGACCAAATATTGTAGGGTTTAAACGCAACCTTCAGTCTGCTCTGAGTTTCCCTCGATTTGCCCAGGACTGTCTCGTTGTCTTAGACAAGAGCTTGTGCTGGTGTCGGAGATGGAAAGTCGGTTTACTCAATGAGTAAGATATGGGTTACCTATAGGCGCTAGTTGATAAGAAAATGTAAATGCGTAGATACACCGGGTCTTCTAGACCGCTGAGCGGTTCGTCTGCTTTCGAGACTTTAGTTCCCCGATGATCTTGGCAAGACGGGAATCTTTGCTGTATTCGGCGACGATGGCTTCTTTTTCGGCATCATCCATACGCGCGTAGGTCTCAGCTGTGTATCCGAAATCCGGTGGTAGGGGTGAGGAATGTTCGGCACTGTCGCCGTCCTCTATATCGAAGCTATATCCGTATTGTCCGGCATCGGCGGGTGTAGGGCGTCCTGGATCGGGCATAGGTGGTGTATGGTGGTGGGAAGTATAACCAAAATCATCAATAATGTCGTCCAGCACGTTCTCCGTCTGCTTAGCCGCCTCCTTCTCATCGTCGGGGCTGGGAAGCGTCGGTAGACGGGACAGTGCGTCCGGAACTAAATTCAGTCGGCCGGGGATGTATCGGATGTCCAAAGAAAACTGTGATAAGTATGTAGACGCTAGCATGAGTCGGGTGTTTAGTTTAGCTAAATCGACTGAGCGTAAGGTGCTCTGGTTTACCACGCCACGGGTGGACTTGTGGTCCGTCAGCACCACGACGGGGTGTTCACACGATTGGACCTGCACCCGGAGAGATACCTCCGTGTTGGATAGATAAGGTCTATACAAGTGGTCACTAGAGATTGGATAGGAGGTGGCGTAGTGGGTTGTGCTGTTCATTTAGCTACGTCTTTATTCATCGAAGGGAGAATGAGAATGTATAAGAGTCCCGGGTACGGTTCCTGGCTCTGGGCTTATCTTCGCCTAGCGTCGTAGATATGTGCTGTCCTGGACGGTTCTCAAGTATATAGCTCTCTTGCGACCCAGTCTTATTGGCCAGCTTCCTCATCCAACCCTGGAGCTACTGCTTTATGGGCTGAACGAGGTGTGCATATTGTATCAATACCCGCTCGAGTGCGGCTGCTGGCCGAGAGACTGATCGAAGTTCCAAATTAATGGAAATGACTGGAATTGCTCGTCGTTCGATGAGGCGGGAAGTTGGGGTGGGCACGCGTTCCCAAACCATGTCGTTTCCTGAGTGGATGAATTCGGAGCAGGAGGTGTTGGGAGCTTGTTGCCTCCTTGTTCGGTTATATGACTCATCATCTCATAGGTTGGCTGAGGCATCGATGTTAAATGGGTCTGTGGCTGGCTGTTAACAGTTGCCCATGTACTCGAAGCTGCTGGCTTAGAAGCGCAGTACCGCGCAGCAGACTCGGTATGCTGCTCGGCCATACCAGCTGAGGCCATCTTATTCTCAGCCAGCATCTTCCACGCCTCGCAATGCTGCTGAGAATTCATCAGCATCTGTCTCAGTTGGAGGACCTCTTGCTTGGATCCCTGGAGCTCCAATTCCAAGGATCCGACCCGTTCCTGAGAGTCCTCAAACTGCTTCCGGAGAGTTGTCTTCCGTCGCTCCTTGCCGAAGCGCGAGACCTCGCCTTGCATTTTGGCGACGTGCTCTTTGGCCTGTTGGAGGGCATGTCTGCAGAGCGCCTGCTCCTCTCTGTTCTTCTCTATGCCACTCTTTACCATGTCACGAAGTTCAACCACCATCTTCTCAAGCTCTTGATTGCGAGCCTGAGTCTGGCGGAGCTCCCGCTCCATGTCCGTGGGAGGGGGAGCTGAAGGAGGAGCTGAAGGAGGAGCTGAAGGAGGAGCTGAAGGAGGAGCTGAAGGAGGAGCTGAGGTGGAAGGCTGTGATTGATTTGCGGCCTTCGCCATTTTGGCGGGCTGGGGGAAGCTTCCGGAGAAAGCGCGCTTCATTTTGTTAGGTGTTAGAAGTGAGGGGTAAATAGAATGTGGGAAGGTGTATCGGGAAAGAGATCTCGTGTCAAGGTTTGACAGAGTAAATAGAGGGAAGGTGAAATGGAGGAAGTAAAGTTAAAGAAGGCGTGATGAGTCTACCTTGATAGTAGGTAGCTGTAACTGTAGTCGTAGTTGTAGTGTTGGTAACTAAGGCCAATTGAGTATTGACTTTGGTGATGAGACACTTGTGAAATATGAAGATTTTTATTCCGAATGCGAATGGCTCAGTAGACTGAGGAAAGAAGGAGAAATCTAGGTAAGTATTGAGAAAAGGTGGTTGATATTTATAGTCTACGAAAACAGGAAGCTGTCCTGGACTGTGTGGTTAGGTGTGCATGAGTACAGTCTCACAACCCACAAGGTACTATGCACTAGGGACTTGTCCCATTCAGATTCATGCAGGTCGAAAACCTTGTTAGCTACTAGTGATCGATCAGAAGACCCTGTTGACCATTCGTTGACATCGTGAAAAGCCATTATGTGCCCTGTGTGAGGCTAGCAGTGTTGTACAGTAGGCAGACTGTATCAATCGAGGTTCCCGAAACTTGCAATGGTACGCTACGCCGTGGGATTGGTTGAATGGGTAGTTGAAATTTTCAGTTGAAACTTAGTTACCTAGGCAAATAGACGGAATCCATAGCACTAGTACTGACAGATCGTGGTCATATCCTTAGTTACCTGAGATTATGTAACTAGGTGTTATGTTGATTGGGAATATCCATTCGGACCAGACGCGAGAAAGTCTCTATTAATACTCAAAGCTTGGACACGAAACTTAGTATATAATTGCAGTGAGGCGACAATTACTGTGGACATTCAGAGGACTTGGTGTATAAGTCCATCCTGGCAAAAGACACATGGCGTTGAAGCCCTCGTTCTCATTGATACACAAATACCAAGTGTCTATAGTAGACTCTATACACGATCTTAAGTGTCCTCTCATACTATGAGTAAGTTTCATGGAATATGTAAGAGGGAATTTTCGTGGATTGTAATGGAGGATAATACTCCAATAGACGATAGTAAACAATGACATGTCGTTGGATGCACCTGTCGAGCAGCCGGCGGGTGGATATGCGACAGCTGCCAGGATTGAAAATAGGGGTAAACAAACGCCACTACTCAAAATTCTCAACATCTTCTTTACTTGCAAGACACGAACGAATATAGATGATAACATTCAAATAAACTGATTAAGTGTTTATAGGCAATGAGTTTTAGTTTTAATCGGTAATCCACCATTTTATCCACTATTTAAGAAGAGCCCCCAACGCGAAGCCATCGCACACTTCAGTGACTTCACGCAGCCTGAAGTTACACGCGCCCATTGACCGACCTAACACCTTTCAAATTGTATTGATGATCCAAGGAGTTATATCTAATGCAATTCACCAGTAACCTAAGTATCCGCGAACTTTCCGTTATCCTCTGACCTTCTAGTTGGCTGGGTTGAATTCGGGTATCTCTTCATTCGGCACTCCGGAGGCAGCATCGAAGTCGAAAAACTGGCTTAAATCCTGTTCCCCATTCAAGCCGGATGATTCCAGAACGTTCTCTGCGGGCGCCTCCACGGTTTCGGTTGCAAGCTCGTGATCTTCCGACTCTGGTGATCGGTATGCCGGTGCAACTGGGACCTGCTGCGAGGCGCTGCTTGGTCTGGCTTGAGGTTCCTGTGGTGGGGATATAAAGGATTACTGGAAGCCGTTCTAATTCTGCTGCTCCGGTTCAAATTGATTGTGATCTTCCAGAAGCTGCTGGGGAGGACTGGGACGAGGAGTGCGTTGTTGCGGAGCTTGGCCCATCTCCAGTAGGTCGCTTTCCCTCTGTATCTCCTCGAACCGCACCTTCCAATAATCCTTTTCCCGCTCCGCATTCGCCGCAGCCGCCTGAAGCTCCGTGTTCTCATTTTTGGCGGCTTGTATCTCACCCTCCAGGCCCTCGGCTCTTTCCTGAGCTTGTTGAATATCTTTTCGCAGGTTCGTCTGCCGCCGCGGCTTCTTGATTGCCGCTATCTCTCCTTGAAGCTTCGCGTTGTTATCGCGAGTCTCGTTTATGGCTTCCTTGACGGATGCCAATTGCTGCTCCGTCTCTTTCAGATACTCGGGGAGCATGCCAGTAAACTCTCGGTTTATATCTTCTAGTTCCGCGACACGAGCTCGAAGCTTCTGGAGTTGAGCGGAAGCATCATCGTTGTGGGTGGTAGCATTGGCGACCGTGTTGTTTGTGGGGGGGTTCATTGGAGACTCTGCGGTTCGGGCCTTCTTGGATGCGGGGCCCTCCGAGCAACCAGCCATGCTGCGCTTCATGGTGGCGGTGATTTTTATGAGATTTTCAGGTGTTGAAGAGGAAATTTTGGTTATTTATTGTAGGTTGAGTGTTTGGTTCAAAGTGTGGAAGATAGGAAGCAATTGATTATTAAATATGGATTTATGTTTCGGATTAAAATGTGTTTTAAGGATGGAGATTGGGAAGATGAAGTATGATGAATGTTTAAAAAGATGCGAAGAATGAAGGTAGGGAATTAAGCAGGTATTTGGTCGCCTTGGTACCTAAGGCATGCAGAAATAAAACAGCTCATATGAAAAGTCTGGGTGCGGGACCAGGAAATGTTTTGTGTCTGAGGGATATCTAGAGGTTTGCGAATCCAGAAATATAGAAAAGGGTATACTGATATGAGCTTCTCTTCGACATTGCCGAGCAACCCTTTGGACTGGCAGCTGTACGTACCTAGGTACTCAAGATCTTCACGAATATATAAATCTATGCTTCAGCACAGGTAGTCAGATCATAACAGCCACGTAAATTAAACGAATGTGTGTAGAGAAACATCCAATTAACGAGTATGCAGCACCAATGCTATCGTAAAACCAACAATGACCCAAACTATGCGCCTACTCTCTTTAGATGCTCATTTTCCACTCAAACCAATCTCTCTGAGGTGATGCTATGGATTTATTCCGAACTTGCTTTCGCCAATGACCCAACTTATATACTAGCTGTCTGTTTGCCATACTCTGCTTCTTGATTGGCCGGAGGGTTTTGCGTGGAATTCTCTCCAAGTAGGGAATTGAGGTCGAAGTTGAGGTCGGCTTCGAAGCCCGGCTCCAATGGCGCCAGATCGAAATATTCATTCGGCACGTTATCGAAGTTGTTGAAGGAACCGAAGTTATTGAGTCCATCGAGATCAAAGGGGTAATTGAATTCAAAGTCGTCGAGGTTATCGAGGGACACCTCCCCGGCAGCGACTAGTGGCATATCTCCTGTTGACTCCCATGATGTATAGATGGGCGCAATTTGGAACTGCTGTGATTTACTACTTTCCCCCACCTTATTTTGCTGGCAAGGAAAAGAGGGCTCATATTCGATGTCATCAAGCAGCGGAAGGTATGGATCATAAATGTGATCATGAATGTCCGTATAACTCTGGGCCGGAGTCGGATAAATATTGGGCTGTTCCGGGCACAGGTTCACCAGGGCCTTGAACTTTCCCTTTTTAATCCTCCGAAAGGCCGAGTTCCAGTGCTCTCTGGCACGCGTGGACTCCGCAGTCGCACGAAGCTGTAAGCTATCAGCTTTGTCGTTCTGCAGTTCCTGCTCTGAGATATGTGCTTTTCCCTGTGACCCCTCAGCCTCTTGACGTAGCATCGTACGTCTTTGTAAAGGCCTGTTGATTGATGACATCTCGCCCTGGAGTATCGCATTGTGGTTATCGGCGGCCTTTAGATCATCCCTTATCGCGGCATGCTCATTTTTCTCGTTCTTTATTGATGTATTAAGCATATCGACAAGCCCCTTGTTGATACTCTCTAGTTCTGAGACTCGAGCCTGGAGTCTTTGTATCTCGACCAGAGCGTTTTGATAGAGAGAAGAGTTCGTATGGGCCGGCTTTGGGGGAGGGTTAACCGGAGAGAAGACGGGTCGGGCCATCTTAGCAGGACGGCCGTCGAGCTGACCACTCGTAGTGCGCTTCATATTTGCGGCGTTGTGTTTGTTGTTTTGCTAAGAAATATAAGTGCGGATTGTTAGGATTGGTTAACGATTTATTTAGCTGCTTTTTGGATTATAGAAAGTAGAAGGTGCTATGAGTAAATGAGTAAATGAGTAGATGAGTAGGTGAGATTATTGTAGTAGATATTGAAGTAGAATGGGTAAGAGTGTATCAGATATACTGATGATATAAACGAGCGACATCAAATGAAAGATAAATAAATCACCTTCTGACCAGCGGTATGTTCTGATAGAGTGGAAGATAGTATTACAGTGGACGGTGTAAAGAGTAGAAACCGTTCTTGGAATGAAAGCTGTCAAGAGTGAAGTAGAGGAGGGAAAATAATAAATAATGAATTCAGATTTGGCCTAAGCGGAAATAAACTGTGTGTTATAAGACCAGCAAACCTTTGGTAAGTCATATAGAAAAGATAGGAAAGGGCATACTCAGAAGATGGCCTTTGCTCAATCTCGCGTCAAACAAACTCGCGTCAGACTCGCGACAGTGGTCTTTTATGAACGTAATAGACGTGTATATATGCGGATTGTCCTTCGATTAGTGCTAGGACTTCGAGCTTCGTTATCCGAGCGCTAATTCTCGAAGATTTAGGGATCTCGTTATCCTGGTTCTCTTTAGGAAGGTTAATTGACAAAAGACAAGTATGCATTGCTGCGGTTATGGTCTCAAACTTAGAGGGGATTGGAAATATTCGTAGAAGCAAGACGGACTCTACGTTACCTAGGGTTACCTAGGTAAACAAATCGAACTTTAAACCTTTACTTTAGCCTCTAATTTGGCATGGATATTCATTATATTGCTAAAATATACGGTATGTAAGTTTAGATGTGTACTCAATTGACTTCGCTAGAGCTTTATGAGGTATGAGGGCATGCCTAGATTATATACATTTTCTCGCCGTGGCTCCATGTACTGTACCTAAGAGCAGTCCCTAGACACTCATTTCAGCATATATAATATGATTTTCACGTAAAGGAGACAAATATGTCTAAAAGCAAATCATATTGATCAGTATATAGAGCCAAAACGGTATCTCCAACCCCATTCCTCGATGTGCCAATTACTAGCTCTTCGCCAACTCCCCCCCCCATAGATTTAATTCGCCGTGGTATCTTCCTCGTAAATTCCATTAAATAAGGAGTCATTGTCATTGTCGTTGTCGATGTCGGTGTTGTTGTGACCGTTGTTAAAATTAAAATCAAAATCAGGCTCGGAAGGCAAATTCTCAAGATACTGTTCCAGTGAATAGTTGTTGTTGACAGGATCCGACTCCGCGACTGTGAGTGTTGGCGTCTCGCTTGCCAGCTGTGGCGACTTGGCAGGGAGAGCATCTGGTATCTGCTGGGGTGTACTTTCGGTGCCGACTTGGGATTCATCTGGTTGGTTCATGATAGGTTGTAAAAGGTCAACCCTGTTGAACTGCCGTGATTGAACTGGATCGATGACGCCGTTGACCTGTTCTGACTGAGCTTGATTTAAGACACCCATATTTCTTTGCTGAGAAGTATGTTGCTGGGCACCAGGCATCTGGTTGATCTGCTGTAAATGAAGAGCTTGATCGAAGACACCGCCGAAATGTCGTTGTTGAGCTTGATTGACGACACTGTTAGCCTGCTGTGCCTGAGCTTTGTCGGCGACACCGATATATGTTTTTGGGAGAGTAGGTCGCTGCTCGGGAATCTGGATGCTCTGGGCTACGTTATTCTCCTTCTCAATCACTTCGAACAGCATCTTCCAATAATCACTGCTCCGTTGGGCTCCCACGACAGCTTTACGAAGCTTCGCGTTGTCGGCTTGGGCCCTCGCCAGGCCCCCCTTCAGGCCCTCAATTTCAGCTCTTCCTACTTGCATTGACACTTTAAGAATACGGCGGAGCTCTTCGTTATCCTTTAGCAATTTCTCGTTACGGAGTTGCAATTGCTGGAGTTGGGAGAGAGTATTGTTAGACGAAAGAGCAGGATTAATCATGGCAGGGTTGATGGAATGATCGCCGGTCCGCACGATCTTAGCCGGAGGGGCATTGGAGGTACTAGCCATGCTTCGCTTCATTTTGGCGATATTGTGGTGGATGTTTAGTTATGATAAGTTAGAGGAGGTGTTGGTGTTAGGGACACGTTTATGTTTGGTTTAGGGCGCGTTGCAAATTTGAGGAAAGAATTTATGATTGAATGTTTAAAGACAAATCTGATGGAAAGAAGTAGAAAGTTAAATAATTGATGGGCGAATTTAATATATGCCTTAGTTTTAGTTTTCTTGGGTATGGAAAAAAAGTTGAAATTGTGCATTTCGAGGATGACGGACTCTGTATACTTCGAAATCTTGACAATTTCTCAGATATAGAACCCTACCTCAGCACTGGTAATCGATTCATCATAACAGTCGCGTATAGAAAGAGAATATGCGTAAAAAAGAATTCAACAAAAACAAATTGACCCTTAAATAATGTGCATTCCTATGTAGGCGAAAATAGGGGCCAGGAACCATCCGCAAAATAAGGGCTATATTGTTGGACTTCAATTGTCAGAAAACGAGATGAGGATTGGAGGGAAACTGTTCAATTGAGGAATGGAAGAATGAAATATATACATGCTTTGACATAAGGTTTGCAGTGGCTATCGCTACTGCTTGCTTATATCAAAGAGAAGAGGAAAGAGCTATACTTGACGAGGCAAGAGGACTGTGGTGACAAGGCTATAGCCATGGAAGTGATGTGGTCTTTGCAAGTTCTAACATATATAAAGCGATGAATAACCTTATAATAGAACTTAAAAATTCCGATTTCCCTTCACCCAACATGCCGTTTTCGTTCTCCTAATGACCCAAGTAGTTATCCCCAACAAAGTTCGTCAGAACCTTGAATTCCGTCCAACGTCCCCTTTCCCCTTAGTTCGCCGGTGGGTCTTGTACTGCGACCTCGTTTAGGAAAGCCTCGATGTCAATGTTCGTATCGAACTCGGGGTCATTCGGGTCTACGTGAAGGCTGAAATCCAAGCCATTACTGCTCGGATCTACGTTAGGATTGAAGTCCACGCCAGTGTTGTTCGGGTCTTCCTCAAGGTTTAAACCTGAGTCCCAATTTGGCTCCCATGAAGCATCCCCCGGCTGTGTGTTGTGGGGATCTTGCGGATTATTATTAACGAAATCGGCGCCCGTGGACGTGACTTTCGAGTTTCCATTTGGGGGCTGGTAGGTCGGTGCCGTTGGAATCGTTCGTGGCCCACTACCGGCTTCGGCGCTGGGCTCTTGCTGTTCGAGCCCGGGGGAAGGTAGTGGACCCACACCGTTCAGAAACTGTGTCTGAAAGTAGTTGCCCGCATCGCTTAGGAGAGGAGTGTGGTGACCGGTGTTTTGTTGTACAGTCTGGCTGCTGTTCACTGCCTTCTGTGTATCTTCGAAGTGAGATCTCCAAAGATCTCGTTCCTGCTCCGAGTTCGTTATAATTCCGCGCAGTTGTTCATTTTCGTTGTTGATGTCTTGAAGTTCACCCTCCAACGTCTCGACCTTCTCCTGGCACTCCTCTGCTTGCTGGCGGAGTGCAGTTCGTCGACGGGGTCTGTCCAATGCGGCCTTTTCAGCCTGGAGCTTCGCGTCATGGTCGCGAGAGCTCTTCAGGTCGGCTCGTGCTTGGGCGAACTCCTCTCTTGCCTGGGCCATGCCGGCTCGGATAGAGTCGCGAAGTTCGGCATTTTTCTTCTCCAGCTCGGCAATGCGAGCTTGAAGGTTCTGTAACTCGGTGGATGTATTCTGGGGAATGGGATGGTTGGCAGTCCGGGCCATCTTGGCCGGAGTGCCATTGGATGAATCAGACATCGCGCGCTTCATGGTGACGATGTTGTGGATATCACTGAGTGAAGTTGAGAGATATGTTGGTGGATTGTAGAGAGGTATGAATCAGTCTTTGGTTTAAGACGTGTTGTGATTATTAGGGATCAGGAGAATGTATTGAAGTAAAAGTAGAGAAGGATGGTGGTGGAGGGTGAAGACAGAAAATTGAATGGCAAGTTCAGTAGAAATAAATGTGTGTGGGAGGATTATATAGTCGAGGGTTGTGTGGTAGAGTGCTGTGTGGCGGGGGTTTGAGAGCATTTTTTTTTTCGGATGCTATGAAGTGTGCCTGAGGTTTGGCGGGGTGCAGGAAAGGAAGAAAAGGGTGTACTTACATGAAATTCCTTCCGGCCTTGTTTATCAACGCGTCAGACTCGCGACATGGCCCGCAATGGCGGTTTTCCCTTCGATCAGTGTCAGGACTTTGAGGCTCTACACAATTCGAACTCTCAACGTTTTCTCCACACAATATCGTAAGCCTCTACTTCAACACGGGTAATTAGAGATAACAGTCACGTAAATAACACGAATATATATAAGAAGACAATCGAATTGATAAGTGAGCCCAAGGTGTCCTACGGGTATAAGGCTCTGCCTCCAAACTCCTGATCCCCCAACTACATTTTCCTCCGTTACTCTAGTTTGCCGCGGGATCTTCTCCAAATAGATTGTCGCCATGCAGGGAACCGACTTCCCAGTTAAAGTCTATGCCAAGGTCTGGTAGCTCTATCTCCGATGGTGGCTGAAGATGCATATTGGATGGATCAATCAGGCCTTGGAGACTACCAGAGGCTGGCTCGATGGGCGCAAGAAACTGTTGCTCTATAGACTCTGTAGACGCACGACGCTGTTGCTCGTTTATTGATTCAGGTGAGTTGTAAATTGGAGCGGCGGAGCCATACTGAAATCCAACACCGGGTGCCATAGCAGGTGCTGTTGGGTGTACAGGAACTTGAGGCATGAAGTTGACGTTCATGAATGGAAGTGTCTGGATTGGTTCGAAAGCACCCACGTTGTTTTGGGGAGGTGTCGGGTGAAAGTTGGTCTGGTTCAAAGCTTGGCTGTTCTGGATGTTCTCGTTCTCGTGCTGTGCTTCCTCGAAGCGTAGTTTCCACCCATCTCGGTCTTTGTGGGCATCCGTGAGAAGCCCGCGAAGTTGTACATTCTCATTCTTCATATTTCGGAGATTCTCCTCGAGACCCACAATCTTGTCTCGCGATTCCTCGTTTTCCCTACGTAGGTTGGTGCGTCGTCGAGGCTTATTTAGAGCCGCCATCTCTCCTTGGAGCTTGGCGTTGTGTTCTCGGGTGGCTTTTAGGCAATCCCGTACCACAGCCATCTCGTCTCTTACTTCCTTCATGTTTGCTGTAAGAAGACTACGGAGTTTCTGGACTTCATGTTCTAGCTCTAAGTTCCGGGCTTGAAGGTCCTGGGATTGATTTAAAGTGTAATGAGAGGCAGGTGGGTTGACCGGAGCACCGGCCGGGGCGTTGACTAGAGCGTTGGTCGGAGCATTGGTTTGAGTGCTGACGAGAGGACTGGTAGGATACCCAATAGTACGAGTCATCTTTGCTTGGAGGTTATTGATATGGCCAGACATGGTGCGCTTTATGATGTCGGTACTTGTTATTATCTTATGTTGTAGGGTGGATAAGTTGTCGACTGATAGGTATGTGTTAATGTTTTAGTTGGGACGCGTTAAACTTCAGGTGAGTGGGAGGACTTATTGTGGTAGAATTAAATACGCGTGGGAGGGAAGAGAGTGAAATTTAAGTATTGTGTTGGGTAGGCAGAGATTGAATGTGCGAAAGAGGGATGGAGGGGTTGAGGGAGTAAAAATTAAAAATCAGTTGTGTGTGAGAGGGGTGGGAAATATTTCCTGGAGGTGAGCGTGTGTGGAAAAAGCGAGAAAGGGTATACTCACATGACGGTCTCTTGGTTGCTAGCCAACCCGTTGGACTAGAGACTGCAGTTCCTTAAGCGATATTTGTCGGTATCTCGAGGAAGGTAATCGTGATGCCTCGCCAAGGTTCATGAGCAGGCTTTTAGTGATTGCAGTAACACTTTTGAGGAATGACGAATTTGGACGATATTTTATTTATAGGTGTTTTTGATGAGTTTGCGAATGTTCGTCGAAGGAAGATGGAGTATACACAATTCAAGCTCTGAGCATCTTCACAAAACTATAAACCTCCTTTCGGGAAAGATGTAGACATAAATGGCAACAGTCACGCAAATATTAAAAAGTATTTACACCAAAAACGAGGTTTATTGTTATATGGTACTAGGCTGTCCGATCCAGACACCTAAAGAGTCCCACAACCAACCTTAGGCAGTCGTGAAGCCTAACATAACCTATAATCTGCGCATAATACCGATTCGCGTATGAAATTGAGTCCCTGTCGTGTTCCCTGTCGTGTTGTCCCAAATAAGTCATCATCAACCAAACTTGCCAGTGCTCTAGGTTAAATGCTGGCTTCTTATGCGGTACTATCTCCGTCTTAGTTGCCCGGGGCTCCTTGCTTGAAAACATCAGCGAGGAAGGCATCGATATCGATATTTAGATCGTTGGCATTGAGATTGAAATTTGGCTCCCATGGTGATAGCTCCAGAGATTGTTCCGGCATGTTCCGTAGGTTATCGGGGGATGGATTCGCCTGGGGGAGGGCTACCCCATTGCCAGTTGAGTCTGGAGATCGATAGACGGGCGCCGCTGATATTTGCTGCAATGAGCTGCCGGCTGCTACAGTAGCTTGTTGTGGTTGTTGGTACATAATGGGCGAAAGTGAAATCTGCTGTGAAGAGCTGACGGTTGCCGAATTCGCTGCCTGTGCTTGGTACATGACTGTTTGTATAAGTTCCATGTTTCCACACGTTTGAGGAGGATTAAATCCGCCGGCTCCAGTGATAAATGGCGGAGGGGTTGGGTGGCCAGTGTGTTGATCGGGCATATTGAATCCCTGAATATCGCTTTCCATCTTTTGATTTTGTTCAAAGAGAGACTTCCAGAAATCTCTATCTCGTTGGAGGCCGGCCATATCGTCACGTAGCTGCGTATTCTCAGCTTTAGTGTTTTCTAGCTCTTCTCGCAATCCATGAATCTCTGTCTGTGATTCTTCAACCTCTTTCCGCAGCGTTGTCTGTCGTCGAGGTCTTTTCATGGCTGAAATTTCTCCTTGTATTTTCGCTCCGAACTCTCGGTTGCTCTTTAGCTCTACCCGTTCTGCCGCAAGGTCATCCTTTGCCTTCTTCATGCTAACTTTGAGCATGTCGAGAAGCTCTTTGTTTATCTTCAACAACTCTTCGTTACGAGCTTTAAGTTCGTCGACCTCGCCGGTATTGTTGGAGGCCAGGCTCGTATTAGCGTTCACCTGAGGATAATTCATAGGGTGGTGGGCCGTCCGAGCCATCTTGGCTGAAGGACCTTCGGTGTGGCCAGCCATTGATCGCTTCATGATGATGATGCTTAATTTTGTATTGTTTATAATAGAGTAATGGGTAAAGGGTACAGAAGCTGTAGGTTGTTGAATTTATTTTTGTGTGTAGTTTTGGAGTCGTGTGGGTTATGGAGTGGGATAAAGTAGCGAGATTGATGTAGCAAGATTGATGTAGTGAGATTGATGAAGTGTGATGGAAGTACCAAGATAGAAGTGCCGAGACGGAAGTACTATTATGAAGAGAGTAAAGTATTTAGGTAGACTGAATAGTAAGTCGGTATGAATGGTGATGTTAAAGTACTGAATGGCCAGTTAAGTAGAATGAAATTTATGGCCGTGGGCAGAGAGCAGATGTACTAGTGGAGGGGTGTACCTGGAAAGGTTGTGCGATGAATGGAAGATATATAGGTTATGGAGTAGCATGCATGAATGGAGGAGGTAGGATACTGAATGGCAAGTTAGTTAGAAACCGTATGCACCGTAGAAACCGAAGAAACCACAGAAACCAAATTTGTTGCTGTGGGCTAAGAGAAGAATTTGTGTTGGCGGGGTGTACCTATAGGTTCGCGAATGCAGAAAAAATAGTAAATTGTATACTGACATGAACCTAGACGCGTGACGCGTCTGAAAGTGCTCGCAGAAGGTAGACGGACTGTACAGATTTCGAATTCTCAGCACCTTCTCTTTACTACGGTATAAGCCTTTACTTCAACACAAGTAATGAAATCATGATATTCACGTATATGAAGCAAATATGTGTTATAGAAATCATCAAGTTGACTGGTATAAGAAAATGAGGCTGTGGTGAAGCCTGGATTAGTAGAAATATGGCACGTAAGAAGCTTGATGCGTATTTTTCATAATCGAGATCTCTTCATGTTACCCTAAAGAGTTATCTATAATTCATACTGTCAGTGCCCCAATCACTGCTTGTCTACCCGCCATCCTATGCCCCTTAGTTGGCCGAGGGGTTGTATCCAAACTCCTCCAGAAGCGCATCAATGTCGATTTCTGAATCAGCCCCATGGTCTGGTTCCCAGGAGAGCCCCTCAAGATAGGGATTTGGTTCAGCGGGGAAACTATCGGGGGTAGATTCGTTGGCCGGCAGTGATAGATTTCCGATCGTCGACTCCGACGACTGGTATGGTGCTATAACCGGAGTATGCTGTGATACACTGCTTGATTCTGCCTTTGGCTCCTCTGGTGGGTATGGGATAGATTGCGGGAACTCTAAGCCATTGAACTTCTTTTCCTGGGAATGGTCGGCCATACTCGAAGTACTTGGAGGAAGCGTCAGCTGGGTGTCATTTTGCTGAATGGCATCGTTCATCTGTTCGCCGTTGCTGAGATGGAGAGCTAACTGATTGTTATTCTGCTCAATGGTTTGGTTCACATGCTCGTTGTAGTTCAGAGGAGGAGTTAATTGATCCATCTGTTCGACGTGGTGTCGCTTCTGCGTCTCTTCGAAAAGGGACTTCCAGTGGTCCCTATCACGTTCGGCGGCCTCTGAAATGCCACGGAGAAGGGTAATTTCGTCTCTGGCATTCCTCAACTCTCCCTCCAACTCATCAATGTTCCCTTGGAGCCCTTCCACTTCCATACGCAGCGTGGTTCGCCGTCGTGGTCTTTTTATAGCGGCGATTTCTCCTTGCAACTTGGCGCCGTGGCTTCGTGCGGTCTTTAGGTCGTCTCTTATATCCTTGATTGTGTCTCGGATGATGCTACGAAGTTCACGGTTCTGGCTTTCTAGCTCCACATTAAGAGCTTGAAGCTTTTGTAGTTGGGTAAAATTGTTGTTGGAGGACTGGGAAGGATTTGTGAGAAGTGTCATTGGAGGGTTCATGGGATAGGTAGTAGTCCGGGTTGCCTTGGCCGGAGGGGCGTCGACGTGACCAGACATGGTACGCTTCATTGTAATAGAGTGGATTATTGTGCGGAACGGTGTGGTATTTGTTGTCGTCCTAAGTAAGAGAAGCTGTTTGATGTTAGGGACGCGTTGATGTTTGGTTTGGGACGCGTTGCAATTCTGATGTGTAGGGTGATTTATTATTACGGATTGTATAAATAAAGATAATTCAGATGGAAGAAAGTAGAAAGGTGAGTGGTGTTCAGGTAGAAATAAATGTGGTGGAGGATTGGGAAATTTTTAGTGCGTATAAGGTGTAAGGTGTCCCTAGAGGTGTGGGCGCAGAAGAGACAGGAATAGTTGTACTCACATGAAGACCTTCAGACCTTGCTGGCTAAATCCAGGGGTCGGCGATTGCAGTTTTCTCCGATATTCGTGAATGGTTCAATGGAAAGATGAACTGATAGACACGCTTCACGTGCGAGGGGGGTTAGTTGACTTGATTATGGAAGAAGTTGAAAGTGTGCTTGGAAAGAAGACGTACTCTACACAATTTGAACTTTTAATATGCGCATAAGGATATGAACCTTTACTGAATAATCGGATTATATAGTCACGTAAATAAATATGTATAAAAAGAATCAAATTGGTAACCTAGGTAAGTAAAACCGAGGTGTCCTACAGGTACAGATTCTACATCCAACGACGTTGGCCAGTGCTCTAGTTACTGACTCCCAAACTACACTCTCCCACATCAAATTCCGATGATTGATATGTAGTACGCGCCATGAAGTCTACGTCGTTGAATATCTGGAGCTCAAAGTCATTGAATGTATCCCGGGGCTCAGCGTCATTGGTGGTACCCAAATTGGTTTAGGGAAGCGTCTGGCTCGGTCTACCCAGTGTTCCGATCTCTCCTTCTAGCTGCGCATTATGGTCTCTGGCGGCTAGATTACTTTTCAACGCGTACACTTCTATGCCACCAAAGCAATGAAGCTCTTGATTAATCTTCTACAATTCCGCCACCCGAGCCTAGAGGCTTTGTAGCTATTCGGTAGTATCGTGAAGGGAACGAAAGGTTATGGCAGGAGGTTTCATAGCAGAATGGTTTAGAGTAGGAGGGTTTGTAGAGTAGTTGATAGGACGCGCCACCTTGGCAGGGCGGCCGTTTACGGGACTAGCCATAGTACGCTTCTTGATGACTATATCACGCTTCTTGTTGTTGTATTGTGTTATGCCGAGGAAATGGTTCGTTGATAAGTGTGGATCGACGTACTACGATGAAAGGTGTAAACAGTAATATATATGAGTTGGAGTACTCACACGAGGGTACCTTGGATTTAAAATTACAGCTTGGCCTTCATTTGACATTCGGACCTAAAGACTGTTCGCAGCAGTGCTATTTATTAAAAGTTTTAAGGATCTTCTTGTTGTAATTTTCTCGTAGAATGCTAAATTAATAAAATACTCTCGTGTATGAAATCGTATTGGATATCTCGATTGTAAAGAATTGTAAAAGTATTCGAAGAAGGAAAACAGACTCTACATAATCCGAGCATCGTCACAAATATATGAGCCTCTACTCCAGAACATGTAACCAGATCATAACAGTCACATAAATGAATCAGACAAGTGTGTAAAAAAAGGTTAAATTAAAACAAAAAAAGCAAAGCCAAGCCTGTCGTGAAGTCCAACTCCGTCAAAAAAGAGTACGCGTAGCAGTCCATATCCCCGTTCCACAATCCGACATAATTGGTGTTGTCCTGTAAGTCCAAGCCTAAACCTCCAAATTCGTTCACCAGTGTTTGAATTCCAGACTCCCTAACTCCTGTTTCCTCTACCGCCTTTAATTGGGCGGGTGGTCGTTTTAATTCCCGCCAATTAGGGCATCGATATCGATATATGCATCGAAGTCCAAGCCTGGCAACTCATCTCCCCATAGTAGTGGCTCGTCCTTGCCGTATGCCTCCAGCTGGTTGTCGAGACCGTCAGGGGCTTGATCAATAGGCGCATTGGGCAGGTTTCCGCTTGCCGCCTCAGGTGAATGGTTGAACTGAGTTTGAGGGGCGGTGCTTGCGACTGCAACGCTGGGCTTTAGCTGATTGGAGGTATAGGACGGCTGTTGTTCGATGTGATTAAACAGCTGCTGTTGGAAATCGACATTGTCGAATTGCTGCTGTTGGGGATCGATATTATTGAATGTCTGTTGGAAGTCGACACCGCCTAGATACTGCTGGTCGACACCATCGAATTGCTGCTGGAATACGCCATCGAGTTGTTGTTGGACACCATTGAGTTGTTGTTGGGTGGCACCATCGAGTTGCTGCTGAGTGTCGATATTATTGAATGTCTGTTGGAAGTCGACATTGTCCAGATATTGCTGGTCAACATCATCAAATTGCTGCTGGTCGACTCCATCAAATTGCTGATGGTCGGCACCATTGAGTTGCTGCTGGTCAACACCATTGAATTGCTGTTGGATGGCACCATCGAATTGCTGTTGAGTGTCGCTATTGAGTGTCTGTTGGAAGTCGACATTGTCCAGATATTGCTGGTCGACGCCATTGAGTTGTTGTTGGAAACTGTTGAGTTGCTGTTGTTGGAAATTGACATCATCCAGCTGCTCGACATAGTTCGGGCTGATAATGCTTCCCTGGCTGAGCGGGGGAGTTGGGTGAGCATTGCCAATTGTTTGGCCATTCGAGGTTCCCATCGCCTCGAAGCGAAGCTTCAACTCGTCCCTTTCTCTCTCGGCCCTGATGATAGCCTCTCGGAGTTGTGTGTTCTGAGTATCGGAGTCTCGTAGTCTTGTCTCCAAGCCCTCAACCTTTTCTTGGAACTCCTCAATTTCTTTCCGCAACGTAGTACGGCGTCGTGGCCGGTTTAGTGCTGCTATCTCCCCTTGCAGTTTGGCATGGTGATCTCGAATTGCGTTAATCTTGGCATTTGAGTCGGCCTTTACTGCGGCTAGGTCCTCCTTTGCTTGCTTCATGGTGTCCTTAAGAAGGGCGTAGATCTCTTTGTTTAATCCCTCCAGTTCCGTGTTTCGAACTTGAAGTCTTCGAAGCTCGGCGATGACGTGGGAGTTGTTAGAGTTGGTGGGGGGAGGACCCATGGAAGAGCTTGGAAGGGTCGGAGGGTTCAAAGGGTGGTCTACAGTTCGCGCCATCTTCGTGGCGGGAGCTCCGGAGTAGCCAGCCATGCTGCGCTTCATGGTTGGTATCTCGTGGGCTTGGTATGGTATTGAGAGAGGAAGTAAGAAGGTATGAAGCTGTCAACTGTTAGATCTGGATTTACTTTTGCCTTATAGCGTGTTGTGATTACGAAGAATTGGAGAACGTATTGTGATGAAACTTGAAAGTGTGATCAAATAGGTGTGGAGGATGAAGATATGATATTTTTTGGTAGGCTAACTAGAGATAAAATGTAGTACACGATTGGGAAATATTTTGGTGCCGGCAGGATGTATCAAAAGTTCACGCATACAGAGAATATAGAAAATGATGTGCTCACAGAAGGGTCTCTTGTACCTCGCCGGCCAGTCTTCAGATGAGTGAATATGATTTATGTGCGACCAGGTTTGGAGTTGTAGGATATCTTTGTAATCGTCCTGTAGGGCCTCTAGAAAGATGAAGTACGAACACGTTTGAGTATAGACACGCGTTGCTTGCCTCAGTTGTGGAAAAGTTGCTGAGAATAGGTGAGAGGAAGAAATACTTTCCAGAGCTGGCCACAGATTAAATAGTCTCTGGCGGGAGGGTGATTAGAGGATACAATGGTACGCGCCTGAATGGTATGCACTGAATGGCAGGAAAGAGACAATGGTACAGCCCTCTCAGACTGTGCTGAACTGGAAAACCGGGGTCTAGAATCAGAAGGACCCCTGTTTCCGGGGAGATCTTACACGTCTCCTAGGTGCCTCTATTCCGAACGTGTGGCACAGGCCAGTTAGTGACTCTACCACCCATTGAAATGGATGCGCTAAGGAAAGAATCGATCTGCAAAACTTAATCGTGCATAACTAGCGTGTAGATTCAGTTGCATTTCCATGGTACCGAAAAATAATCTGCTCAAAATGAATGGGAGAAATACCTGATTGGCTGATTTCCATTCAACAGTATGGTGATTCTACAATGGTCGAATCTCGTTAATCTGCTCAAGATATGCATGCCTCTACAGATAAGGAATTCGGGTAAAAAGACGTCAATAATATCTTAAATAGCTGATATATACCTAGCAACTACAATGATTATATAAGACATAGAGCAAGTAGTTACTAAGGAAACTAACTAGAATTTGTGCGGAGCTTTTATGACATATTGCTAGCGGAAGGTCTATATTTACAGAGTCTTTAGACGCGATTCTCGCCCGTCACCTTGTGGGCATGGAATATTACAATTACAGGTACAACAACTCTGGATACAACGGAGGATTAAATATGAGTTTCTAGAAGTGTGTATACTTTGCTACCAGAGAGGTTTGGTAGGAGACAATCGCTTGCTAAATGGCAACACCTTGGAGGTGAAACAAGAGAGGCCACAAGGGTACTGTGGACTATTTACTCCCACAGTTTAAATCCAAGATCAGACACATACCTAGGCGAACGGGCCACAAGTTGGTACCTACTACTATTGAGGCTAGGAAGATGATACCTGAATTGCCAGGACGCGTCTCCTAACACCCCGGTACCATGTACAGCTCAGACATAGCACTTATAACTCGCTCGTTGTTTGGCGAGTTATGTAACATAACCTGTGGTGAAGCAACGTATATACAGTATCTAGGGCTAATTGTAAGGCGTACAACCTCAATTGGTATCCCAGGAGACAATAACGCGTTCCTGACGCGTGAGTTAGAATTAGCTAATTGCACACCCCTTTCCTTTCCACCTTTCCAATTTTTCCGCGTCAATCACCGCCTGAGCGCATATAATATTTATCTACATTGCTTTCTATTTTACAAACGAACAAACATCCTTAAGTTGCTGAACAATACGTTGGTTGTAAGTCCAGAGTGTCGGCGAAACTTATGTGTTGCTGCAGTCAAATGCGAAGTCATTTTGATCACGTGATACCCCAGATTGTGGCTTTACCCACCCCCGCGACCCGAACCTTGCGTCCCATGTTTTAGTCAGTTCAAAATTCTCCGTAAACTGTTTAATTTTAGTTCGGACGGTTCCGAAAGCTCGGTCGCCCACCTTCCATTTTAGTTTCAGGACTGTTGTCTTATTGGACAACTGTATTTAATGGTTCCGTTCCTTGTCCGTACCCACCGGAACTTTCACAATTGAAGATAATTATTGACAGGTAAGAATCGTAAAGGCCCGTGCATAGACTCGTAAAACTTCGGACTCTATTTCAACATGACACTTGTTAAATGGACGATGTATTATTTGAAAACTGGTACTATATTATGAATACCTTTGACTGAGCTTATTTCTTTCTTTTTGCATAATAGTTACCGTGTCGCATAGCTGAACTTGATTACGGGCGGCGCGCTCCTCCCGTGTAATCACCAGCCTTACCCCCGTGGATTGGAGATAGCTTCAACCACCGGCATCGTTCTGAAGTCGAGAAGCTCCCCAGTATCGGCTTCCGAATCTGAGGATATCGCGACCTACGAAGCCACTATAGCCTTAACCTAGATAACCTAAAGCGAATGACATACTAGTAGTATAGATTGGCAGCGGCCAGCAAGTGTTATGGGAATAACTGTCTACGCGAAAACAAAAGTCGCGGCCTGCCAAGCATAGCTCCTACATCTCGCCCATACAAATCCGACAAACACGAAATCGCAAGAGATAACACATAACTTCTGGCAACCTAACTTAAAATTATGTTCTGTCTGCCCGTACACTTCATAGTAACGGGGTTCTGTCGTGATACAGAACCTAGAAGACGTTGTGCAACATCGTTATTACGCGGGTATCTCTATCATCTCTTAAAGAACTATAGAAGCTACGTATACATGTAGGTTAGTCGTCTTTATTTATTCTAACTAGCCTCTTGAATTACTAACTCTATCATAATTTACACTCTGAGGGACCGTTGATAATAAAGATCGCCAGTACATATTCGTCTCGCTTTACTCTGTGGCTTTCAGGTTACGGTCCTGACCTTCTCAACTCCAAATGGTTTCCTTTAATTTCAGTGCCTATGTCACGCGCCGATTAATTTTAAGTAGGCATGATTCTTTTCTTTGCTGAAGGGTCCCCACCGGCGCGTTATCACCTACGTAGCTACTAGTTACTGGAAGGTGGACATATTGCTGTTCTCAGAGATCTCCAACTGCAATAGATGAAGCCCAACGCCTCCCATCACGAAGGGGAACCTAGAAGATGCGGAACAACATCGTACCTAATTGTTCGTCGATATTCAGAGTCTTCTCGGAAGCTATAGAGGTTACCTACCTACATAGGTATACACGTAAGCTGTTTCTGTTCTATCTAGGTCCGAAGTCAGCCCCCAGGGAGACCTTTAAAACCTTTGAATAACGGATGTTGGGAGTAGAGATATACATGCCATGATTGGAGTGATCATAAGTAGGATGATGATACGTCTTCTAATAATAGAAAAGGAGATCAACGGACCTTGGGATCATAGAAGAGCTATTAGCTATATTTAATCTACACATTATAAGACACATATGCTGACCCTCGTTACAACCTAGCTCACTTATAGACGGTATTTCCCATGTTTCCAAAGCCTGTATAACAACTAGAGCTTTAAATTTTGCGTTTCTATGGAATGTTGACCCAAGGTTCAGACCAACCCAACTACATCTCCGACCCCCTCTGGTATAGTTAAGTTGGTTATAATATACGACCACTTCCGGTGTAATATATACACGACCCTCTTTGGTATATTACACTTACCAAAATTGCTGGTATACACCAAAAATGAGTCTCGCAAGAATCGTCGGCGCCCTTACCCAAATTACAAGTTAATGCTATTCCCAACCACGCCGTCGCTCCCGTCATTACCGGTAATACAACCCTATTAAGCATAGACCCTATTAGCAATACCACCAAAATTACTAATAAGCACTAACAGTGGCTGTATACTATAGCTAGTATGGCTGGTATCCACTATAAATACACGTTATTACACCCAATTCAATTACACGGGACATAAAAGTATAATTGGGTGGATTTAAAAAGTGGATCTGATATAGTTGGATTGGGTTGGATGTAATACACTTGGTATACACCGGTGTAATAGCGTGTAGTTGGTCCGAACCCTGTAACAGTTGACCTAGTAGCTATCTAGAACAAAGAGTACTAACCTGCATGAATACACACCTACCTATGTAGTCTCTGTAGTTATCATAGAATAGCAGAAGTACTGAGTGAGTAGGTAGATTAAGTAGAGTGTACTAGAGTGTATATATGCCTAGGCATACAGCGTGGTCCTCGCCCTCCTAGGAGGTCAAATGTCACGCGTATAGAGACAACTGTGACTACATACCAACCTACCTACACAACTACTTCCTACCATTGAGCCCCCTCTACATACAAGAGCTACCAAATGATCCTCAATTGACGATACCCAGTCTCTGGTTTCCCCACGGCTCCTGTCCCAACTTCCGGCGACAAACTTCTTCCAGAGTCTAGACAGAAGACTGAAAAGGTTTCCAGCGTTTCTGTACCTCAAGGGCTATCATCAATGAGAAAGAGAGTAGGAGAGAATAGCCAAGGACGTCTATCCGGAAGCAGCAACTGAATCGATAATAGTCTCACGTTATAGAACTCAACCACCTTGATTAGGTAGGTACTAGGTACCACAAACAACAGAAGCAACGAAAAATATTCCGTATAACACCACATCACTTCAAATCTTTGGTGTATAATCTATTTGATCGCGTTGGTAGATCTACCAAGAACCCTACCAGCACAAACACCGGCAGACATCTTACCTTCCTCGAATTTGCTACAAGGACAAGCAGGCACATCACAGCAATCACATCCTCAAGATTTCACACGATCAAACAAGATATACCTAAACAAGATGTTTTTCCAAAGGGGGATAACATAGGTATCGCTCAATAGAAACCGTATCAAATCATACTAAATACACAAAACCAAGCCTCCCCCGCCCGGAACCCAAATTTCTGCCGGCACCCCCAAAAAAGGAAAAAGGAAAAAGCGCCGACAAAAACCTCGATCCCAAACTCGGGTTGCTAGCTAGGTAGTTATATACACAAGAACCATACGGACGCAATTTATCCTATCCTATAATCCTGTACACTCATCATCATCGTCCATCTTACACCGTTTCCTTGTTGAACTCCTCATATTTGAACAACTGGGTATAAAAGGCCTAGATCGCGGTTGTGACAGCCGTGACCACGGGCTGGAGGGTGGTGGCAGTGGCAGCGAAGCCGCCGGTAGGCTCGTTCTGGCCGTCGGTGGCGAGGAGGCCGACGGTGGGCTGGGGCTGGCCATTGGTGGGCTGGGGCACATTGATGGTGGCGGCGGCGAAGCCATTGGTGGGCTCGTTCTGGCCGCCAGTGGGCTCGTTCTGGCCGTCGGTGGCGAGGAGGCCGTTGGTGGGCTCGTTCTGGCCGCCGGTGGCGAGGAGGCCGTTGGTGGGCTCGTTCTGGCCGCCGGTAGGCTCGTTCTGGCCGTCGGTGGCGAGGAGGCCGACAGTGGGCTGGGGTTGGTCATTGGTGGGCTGGGGTACGCCGATAGTGGCGGCGGCGAAGCCGTTGGTGGGCTGGTTCTGGCCGCCGGTGGCGGCGAGGAGGCCGTCGGTGCGCGGAGGCTGGTCATTGGTAGGCTGGGGCTCGTCGATGGTGGCGGCGATGGCGGTTTTGGTGGTATCTTCGGTGTTAATAGGGGGGTCGTCCTCGGTGTTGTCGGTGGTGGTGGGCGTATTGACGGTTCGGGTCAACGTGGTAAGAGTGGTGGGGACAGCGCCTTCGATGATGACGCTCAAACTCTCCTGCGGGGCCCGACCGGCAATGGTGGTGCCAGTGGCCGCGGGGCCTACGATGACGGTGGTCTGCTCGGCGGCTGCGAATTCGGTGCCGTTGGTCTCGCCCGCAGGGATCTCGATGACGGGGGGCTCCTCAGCGGGGGAGGTATCGTTCCCCTGTTGTGGGTCCCGAGCGGCGATGCCGGCGCCGGAGATCAGAGCAGGGCCGGGGATGGTGTACTGGAGGCCGGTGGTGTAGATGTTGACCAAGATACCGGGGTCGTTGGCAGTGTACAGCTTGGTACCCACAACACCAGCTGGGACTTCGGTACCGGAGCCAGTGACCTCGAGGTTGAAGCACTGGGGATAGGCTTGAGCACCGTTGACCTCGCCGGCGCTGTGGAGAGAGATGGTCTCGTGGCGAAGGACGTAGTTGCCAGGGGCGATGTTGGCAGGAATCTGAACGTTCCAGGTGTTGCCGTCCTTCATGAGCTGATCGGAACCCCAGAAGCCGTTGGTGACAGAGTCGTCGATCAAGCCAACCTCGGCGATCTTGAAGAATTCTAGGGAGGCGGGATCGACAGTCTCGCAAGAGCCCTTGCAAGATGCTAGGTAATCTATCATAGGACCTTTGTGGGATTCGGGCCACGTATTCCAAGTGACGGCAATGCTGCTGCCAGCCTTAACTTGAGCGGTGGCGCCACCTGGGGAGGCTGACTTGTGGCAGATGATGTCGGCGCTACCGAAGCTGTTGGGCTCAACGAATCCATTGTCGGCCTGACCGGTGGTCCAACCGATGACGACGGGAGGATTGTCCTGGTATGGGAAGGTAGTAGGGTCGTATCCTTGATAATTAACACCGTCGATAACAATGTGGTCAACGTGACCGTGTGCGGCGACGGTGGCCGCGGACATAAGCGCCGCGACTAGGGGAGAGAGCTTCGTGGAAGACATGTTGTTGGTAGTTTGAGGTGAGTTGGATGAGATGTGATTGTGATTGTAAGTGGAAAGAAGCAAGATATATATATGTCTTGAACGAAGTATAAAACGTAGGTATCAAGATACTTACTTGCTCTCACCGAGAGGTAAAGAATGGCTTAGACGTAGTCTAAAAAAAGACAAAGATGCCAATGAGTGAATATAGAAATTGATCGACTTTCGAACTGATCAACGAAGAGGTATAGCCTACCCGACAGCATGATCTCGCAATGTTATATGCCTGGATGTTGGGCTAGGCACCTGGGCATGCACGTCTAGAGCTGCTATATCATCGTATACCTCGTTAACGATTATATAATTGCAGTTGGCTAAGATCCACAGGACCCCTAAGCTTGACAAGGACTCCACGTCGTCGAAGGAAGAAAGATGCAGATTTCGATACACTCTAAGGCAGGCGTAAGTAGTGACTAATGGTCGCAGACCTTGAATGGTAGCCAACCCCTGACTTCAATTTCTATGCCGTCCCGTCTGAAGTAGGCCGGGTACCTAGTGTATTGTAGTAGTAGTAGGAAGCTGGCAGGGTAGCTTTGGAGCTATGCCAGCTACTTACTGGGTTAGTTCGGTATAACTAGTTAACCTGGACCTTATTCTAAACAATGATTATGTCACGCCTTGGCGGTTGATGCGACAGATGGAACTTGGGTAGATAGTTCCCTGGCTATATTAAGATCATGAGAGACAGCCAAGGTGACTATGTTGCCATCGACTACTACGTAACTAGTTGACGTTCTGAATAGCATCTTCAACGTCGTGTTCGGGTCGTAGAATAGCTAGTATTTTACGACATTAAACGAGCTGGAAGTCAAACTTCACGAGAGGAGGAAAAAAAGACGACAGGGGCAGCTTAGCTAACAGTTGGCCATCCACTGTTTCAAGCTGTGATAAAACCAAAAGGGTGGGCGAGACGATGTTCTTAGTTTGAATACGCCATCGGTAGCCGCCTCGTGGAGGCGACCCTATAGAACGGCCCGCGACAGAGCCGCCAAGGGAAAATTACCCGGCCAAGCTAAATCCGTCCTGGGTATTTTCACCACTAAGAGTATTCAACACTTTGAGCGCAATGTGTCTAGTGTAGAAAAAAATATGAAAAGTCAGCACGTTTCATGATGATTGTAGAGAGTATGATGTTGATAGTATACAGATACGTCATTATGAGAAGTGAGGTGACTGCTGATGGCCCTAAGGCCTAACGGTACACCGATGCAAGATTCAATAGTCATATTCTGGGCAGATCCACGTGGAATTGCCGTTGTCACAGGTACCATATTACTCTATCTTGCATGGATCGTGGAACAGCGTTGTATTGAATGTATCTGTATAACAACTGAATCGGCGGGGGATCATCGCTGGCATTGATTATGTGAGGCAGAGCAAATGTGTGTATTCGTACCGCATCATCCGAACAGCTGGACTCATAGATGAATCGTCAAAAAGGGGAGAGATCGTCAAAAAAAAAGGAGAGGAGGATTCAAAAGAAAAGGTTAGGAGAAAAGGAAAAAAGGAAATGACTAACCTTAAACTGATGACTAACCTTAAACTAACCACTAACCTTAACCCCTAATCCCTGCGTCCATCACCCCAAGATCCACTTCCCCGTTTCGCTTCGCCATAAACGGTAATCTTAGCCGGAAGCCCGGCTTCATTAGTAATTCCGACAATTTCCCTTTGCCCCTAATCGGCTTGCATTGTGATATGTTTCTAGGGTAGTATGTACTATGTACTATCCATTGCGCATCCATTGCGCCAAGTATATTTACTAAATTACGACGAAAAGGTCCAGGAACGAATTCGAGAACGAGATGGTCCGACAAGCTTCTGGTGACGAAAGCCAAGAAATAGTTAGTTCAACCCTATGAGTTTGACTGCCACTAGCTTTACTTGTCATCACCAATATTAGTGTCGCTATGCATTAGTTATTATGTATGCCCAGGTGTACGGCAAATGCGAAGGTGGGATATGCCGGGCAGAATAAGCCCCCCGACTTCCCGGACGGAGAACAGCCACGCTGAGCTCGGGATGTCATCTGATTCTGCCTTGCCGTCATTTGATGTGGTGTGAAGTATTATATATAGTACCCGCAGGTATAAATATTCCACGGCCCGTCCCATCCATTCGACATTGTATCACTTCAGCTGCGTGGGGGACAATAAGGGGGACAAAGCGCAAATGTTTCCATTTGACAAAACAATATTAACTAATAGGAGACTGGAACTTTTTACGAATCGGTATTGGCGGAGACGACATGGTAAGATCTCATATGACCTGTTATCCTACCTAGGCAGTGACCAGCACGTTTCAGGCCGGAAAGCGAATAGCTTTAAATAAAAAGGGCATTGTCAAATATGCTACGCCGCTTTGGATGAATTAATCTACTATAGGAATCCTTATTCATCACATATCAGCTTTCACAATAACTAGATAAAATCAGGTCATCTTTATAAACTTTTATTCAAAAACTTTGTATAGGTCTATGCCAGACACATAGAATCCGTCTCGTTTGTTCATTCGTATGTTCGTTTATTTCGTACATTTCGAATAGGGGGTGGGGGGGATATCAAGCGTATCTCGTGAAATGCATTTGCTCTTGCTCTGCTTTCGCTGCTGCTTTTCTTATTTTTCTTTTTCCTTCACACGCAATATAAGCCCATGTTTGAGTAGGGAATGGCACGAGGCCCGTCATACCTCAACACCTCAACTCCGTTTCTCTTATTTACTGATGACGCAACCCCGGTCGTCTCCCAAATTTCACTAAAACCATCTTGGCAACACTAAATGTGCGGAGTGGTAGGGGTCTTAAAATTCACCTTCGCCGCCGCCTCCTGCGACGCTGGCAGTCCAAAGACCCACAAGTCCCCACCAACTGACCTTCCACCCTCTCCAAAGTCCCTCGAACCCCTGACCCCTTTTATACACCACCTCGGCCACCTTAGGCTGCTTCGCTTTCCTATTGCGAGGCGACGTCTTAGTCGGCACAGCATAGGCAGCGCGAGAGCCTTCGTCGGCGACGATAGTGTACATAGTTCCGAACACGCCGTTGCACGGCCCGGGTTCAATGATGGCGTCCATCTTGCCATTTTCATCCAGGGCCTCGAGATAGGTGTGGTCCTGTAGAACCACCATCTGGCCGCGACGAAGTACCGTTTCTAAAGGTAACTTGACAAATAGTGACGCGCACGAAGTGCAAAATTTGGCGACAGAAAATGTCATAGGCGATTGCTCGCGGTCGATAAGGAACTGCGAGCGGAGAACGAGGGGTGTGGATAGTGTGAGGAATGGGTGGACGAGAGAGTTCAGGATGGTGGGGGCTATCAGGGATGAAGGACAAATCCACGAAGGGAGAGCCCTCAGAGTTGCTAGTGTGCGACGTGGCGCCCGTCCAGTGGATGTGACAATTAATCTCGTCCGGACAAGATCGAGAGGGGCCAGAGCAAGTCCGGTTGCGACAGCAGCCGCGGCAGCTACGCAAAGGGAAGCCCATGGGTAAGGCGATGCGATATCGACCAGTCTGTCGACGTCATCCTTAAGTCCCAAATCTGGAACGTTGAATAACGCACTTAGGAGACTTCGCGACCAGTTCTCTAGTAGTGACTGCAGCACTGTATAGAGGAATGTAGCGTTGGTCCCCTTCCAAACTCCCCACATCGACTCTTTTGACCATAGCTGGGATATCACATCAAGTATGGAATCGGGCCTCTTGAGAGCAAGCTGATGTGGAAGGAGTGCGGGCCTCGTAGGTGACTTCGGACGATCTATCGGCGACGATGCTCTTCGTTTCGACCGTGAGGACGGCGTAGGTGTATATGGAGTATTAGTAGTGAAGTATGCGGCCTCCTCCGGGTCAGAATCGGAGTCGGCACCCTATAAGTCATATTAGCACCACCATTGGGCTGTAAAAAATTATGAGCTGGTGAAAAATTGTTTATCGTACCTCTTCCCATACGTTCTTTGGACTGATAAGGCTTGGGCTAGCTTTAGGTTCGTCGGTAAGGGTTGGTATGCTTGGAGCACGCAAGCCCTTAGACGAGTTCGAATTGCTTAAGCCTCCTACATCATCTTGAAGTCTCACTTGTAAGATCGTCTTGGCTACCTCGAAAGGTTGGGCCATAACGACGGATGTATACTTCCATATTAACTCGTCGACTAGGCTTTTGATAGACTGGACAGTCGAAGGGGAGAAGTCCTCTAGGTGGTCCTTGTAATCTATATCTGGAAATATGTCACGCGCCCTGGATGCATATTTGTTCGATGTCGTTGCTACCGCTGCTGGTGTAGTGGTAACATTTCCATGTGAAAACGGATTCGGTTGGGACGGGAGAGCCCCAACCTGCTCTCCTATAGAGGGCGGTATATAATAAGGGCGCAGAGGATTAACGCCTTCTTTTGGTGAAGACATATCGGGTGGGAATGTGAATGGAAATTAGGAGGGGTTTATTTCATAACTGATTTACGCCCAAGCTGTTCCGGTGCAAAAGATTCCAAGAGTGGCATGTGGATGTGGAGTATCGTAAGTACAGAAAAGTACGAAAAGAGGAATAAATTATCGATGGCGGTATTAGCTAAGCAAGGGTACGGAGGGGTTGGACTTATGTAATGTGAGATTGAATTTTAATGGCTGCATAAATCTTATGCAGATTTTAATGAAGAACTAACTACCTAACTATTGGGGAGTCGGAAAAAAAACTGCAGCTCGGAGTTAATGAGGGGAAGTTGCAGTTGACTCAAGCTCTCCAAAAAATGGGTTCGGTCTCCGGTCGATGGATAAGATAAGAAAAACCTCAGGCACCGGGCACCTCATAGAAAGAAGAATTAAAATCGGAGCTAGGTCATAATTCGCAGTCTTCCTATTCGTCGATTCTGTCGCGTCGCATTTTATCGCTGAACTTCTTTTTTTGAATATCCTAGTTTGGTCTTTTTTTTCTTCTTGTTAGATGCACGCACTTTTCAACGTACAAGCTCGTTGGTCCCGAGACTCTGGAATACTACCATGACAACTCTCAATTACTGAAGAAATATTGTATTCGCCTGATTGATTAACCCCTCGATATAGTTGTAAATACTTCCCTTGTCCCTCTATATCTCTATAGACCTTTTTTTCTATCTTGTCCCCCCCCATCGCCGCAATCCCCGAGCTCTTGAACCCGCTCTTCAATCGCAATTCTCCGATATTGTAGTGCCACAATGGCGACGCCCCGAAGCTTCATTCGAAGCATACCAAAAATTCAATTCCGCTCTATACAATCCTCTTCACAATTTAACCGACCTGCATTCTCGATATGTACGAGATTAAGACCGAATGCGCCGTTAATACGTCACACTCGAGCGAGCGCCACTCTATTGCGACAGTTTAGCACCACCCCCATACACCAACATGGCCACATACATCCACCGAAGCCAGGCGAGGAGTAAGAACCTCCACACGACTACTACTACTTTTAACGGTGCGCATAAGTTAACGTCTAATTAGGCTCTACGTCACATTCATCGACAAAGAGGGAAGAGAGCACAAAATAGCCGTATCGAAAGGCGACAACCTCCTCGATATCGCCCAGGCGCATGATCTAGAGATGGAGGGAGCTTGCGGCGGCTCGTGCGCGTGCTCCACATGCCATGTCATCGTCCTCGACGAGGAATACTACGATAAGATGCCCGAGCCCGAGGATGACGAGAACGATATGCTGGATCTAGCGTTCGGATTAACCGAGACAAGTCGTCTAGGCTGCCAGGTGGTCATGACCAAGGAGCTCGATGGTGTGCGAGTCAAACTCCCCTCCATGACGAGGAATCTGCAAGCGAGCGATTTCGGTTCGAAATAATGAGAATAATTGCGTAATTAATTGAAGGAAGATTAAAAGATGAATGACCGAGGACATAGAAACTCGACATTTGAAGGATCGAATGAATTGTACCAATGGATATTATTGTCCGAGGTATCTACAGCATATGGCATGGCAATGGATGGCAATGGCGGCTTTGAAAAAAAAACTGACAGGTTAGGATTGTGAGTCTGTATCGGGTTACCACGGAACGAGCCATGAAATGTATTATATCGCTAGCTGAATTAGCTTGCTGGCTTGGAGATAGACCGAAACCTCAACTCTAACGAGATCATGTTCATGAAAGTAAATTATGTTCTTCGGTTTTGGTATCATTCCATGCTATAACAAGTCTGAGAAATCCGCATTTACACACCTATAATGACAGCTTCCATGATGACAGCTTATCACTCCGTAGATAGCTCACGCCTCTTCAATGGCGCCCTTCTTCATCTTCCCTCCACCACCCGCAATCAAATCCAGGAACCCCTGCCGACTCATCGCATGAACCTTCTCCTGGCGCCTCTGCACACCGACCACCCCATCCTTCCTCGCGTCCTTCTCCGCGTCCGCCGCCCGCTCCTGCGCCTCTCTCACGGCTCGGAACAGCATGATGACACCGCGATGGGCGACCTTGCGCAGCCGCTTCTCCGTCTGCTGGATCTCGCCCGTGCTCGTCTCCGCAACGCCGGTCTCCGCGTCCACGGTGCCGATCACCACGTCCTTGACGCGCCCCTTCTCCTGCGCCAGCCGCTTCTGCTCCCGCATGTGGCGCCGCGCTTTCGACTCCAGCGCGTTATCGACAGCATCTTTGGCCGCTTGGTGCGCCTCGGCGCTGCGCGAGAGCACGGGATCGGAGCGCCGCGTTGTAGAGAGCTTGGTCGACAGGATCTTAGACATCGAGGTTGCGAAGGCGTCCGGGTCGTTGCGCTTCGACTTAGATTTGCGGAGCGGTATCGTGTTGGGGTCTACGTCCGAGCCGGCCTCGTCTTCGGAGTCGAAGTCTGATTCTTCTTCATCGTCTTCATTTTCCTCTTCGGATTGGCCGTGGTTTGAGGCCTTGTCGGCGGGTGTGTCTTTGGCGGGTTTCTGGAGTTGCTTCTTGGGTTGCTTTACGGGAAACTTGGCGCGCGCTGCGTCGAGGTCAGAATCTGATCCTGCATCGGAATCTGAGTCTGCGCCAGAAGAGACGTCATCCATGACAATGTTGTCGAGATCTTCATCGTCAGAATCTAGCAAATTGACAGGTCGAAACTCGGGATTGGTAGTATCTTCATCTGAGTCGCTATGATACTTGGTGGTGACCTTCTTCTGCTTCTTTTTCGGTCTCTGTTGTTTGGACTTTGAGGTGAAATCTTGGTGATTTCGCTTTTTCGATATTGGTCCCGCCATTGTGATGTGGATGTGCCGACTTTCTACTTTTTGATGTGTAGATTGTTAGGTAGGTAGGTGTTATTATTTATTTATTATTGGTCTTGAAACTTTTGAACTTTTTTGCACCAAAAAACTTCCTTCAATTGCTACGGCGCCCCACTTAGAGCTGGCTGATAAGATAACGCTAGGCTGACCGCCTGCCAAGAATATTACCTACTATGCAAACCTATGTACCAGAATATGCACGGTACGAAGGTACTTGCAATTTTAATGTTCAAACTTGTGAAGTTCAAATTTATGAATTGATGTTACTCATTCAAATCTACGATTGTTCAACATCTAAAACAAGCTCGCTTCTATCTGTATCCTCTATCTTCGTCTCTATTTTCATATAGTATGCCTACTCTTCGCTCGTTTACAATGTCCATCATGTAGAAAGCCGGACCTCGATTCGCCATGTTTTAGCCCCTTTCAAGTCAACTATCCAACTGAAGTCTCATGGCTTAAAGTCACTCTTTCTTGTCTCAATCATTTTACATCTGTATCTGCACAACTCACTTCTAAGACAACAATTCTAACCAGCCAAAGACGTGAATACATTCAATCAACAAAAATGGCAGGCATTCTAGGCAGCTACTCGGACAGCACGTGCAATACGCACAACGCGCTTCGCTACATAGAAGGACATGCCTGCGGTGCCACCTTCTCTTACAGGAGCTCCTCCTCGCCACCAGACATGCATTATGCTGTGGTCTCAATCCAAAAGTGCTGCGACGAGTACAATGCCACTGTACTACGCATTCCTGGCAACATCGGTTGCGAAATGCAATTTTGCAACATAACCCAGTCCTCAGACGACCTTTACAGCTGCCTAAGTTTCGTGTCTGAGAGCGATTTGCCAGATGATATAGCCGATAAAATCGCAAATGTGGGCAATTGGTGTACCGTTCGCATGTACGATGATGAGGTACCCTTATCGGAGGAATTATCGCCAGTGACGGCGAGTGCGGCTCCACCCAGCTGGACGGAGGCCGCCGAGGCCGCCGCGAATCCGTTCGGACACACGCCGTCATCCAGTTCTAGTTCCGAAGATGCCTCGACAACCAGCAGCCCTACATCAACGAGTCGCGGGCATACTGACTGGACAATGCTGAGTACTATGTCTATATGGACTATCTCGCTATTAATGACATTTGGTCTTGTGGTCCTAATGTGAGCCTAGGTTGCGAACTCTTTGCTGACACCATCCTTGAGGTGCGTGCGGGTTTAAAGTTGGAAATCAGCACGATTTATCTCTATATTATTCGAGCGAACTCAAGCGTCACCATGATAACCCGGCGGTGGTCGACTCACCCTTTAGTCGCATTGGACTTGATTGATCTAATCTATTACACCCATAATATCTGCTATATCATCCCAATGAATATTATTTATTATTATGATTTACTTGTATGTTATTGTTGAGTTCACATGTGCGTTGTGTAATCAAGCTTTATTCATGCAAACAGCCTGGTAGATCGTATCGATCTAAGTCAGAGGAGCCACTTCTTCATATGAAGATCCATTATGAGGTGCATGCGCATGCTGGCAATCAGGCAGCTGTTGGGATGACCAGGATGTGGGGTTATCATTATCATCAGCGGAATAATTTATCCCTTGAGATTTCTCAAATAGGCAGCTCTCGTACGGAATGTTACAATCAATTCATTACTGGACTTACTTTTTATTCTTAGCCACGCATCTTTAGATCGCATACTTAATCTAGATCGAAGGAGATGCTTACAAGGTGCGGGCGAATGATAAACTTCGACTTATTCCATTTCTAGGGCTGACACGTCTAGTCTATTTACTCCGGACACCGTGTTTCGCTTGACCGCAACTTTTCCTCCCGAAACACCTCGCGGAAATGAGACACTTCGGATTCATCAGCAGCATAATCATCGCTGCAAACATCGCAAGGGCCCAATCGCAAAATGAAACCGGCGAGCATGCTGGGTGGCCCCGGTGGTGCGGTAAAGTCTATGAATCGGGGTATCCATCTTTCGAGCCCGGGGGCCACACGACGGAGCCCACTCCTATTAATCCAGATGGGTCGCCAAATTTACATATTCTATTTAAGCCTCGTCACAGCATCTACCTAGAGGGAGAGTCAAAGGGGTCATTCGTCGTCAATGCCGCATTGTCGCCTTGGTTCGGCGGGCCTTGGGTAAATTCCACGACTGATGGGGGATCGGCGTCAGAGCCGTTCACGGAGCTCTTCTTTTCAATCAGTCTGGGCTCCGCAGGAAATGTCATTTCTCCGCCTTTTGTGGAGAGTACTATACCGATCAACACCACCGGGGCTTCTTTCGACTTTGATCTGTCTTTTTTTGAGCCAAGCACGGAGCCGTACGAGGTGCTCCTTTCCGGATCGTCGCGGTACGGCGATCAGAATTACATGGTGACTAGCTCATTCCGGTACCTCCCAGACATTGCCCCGGATGGAAGCGCAACTAAAATCGATAACCTAAACGGCGGCGTGTTATTTCGGAGCCCGCAAACGGATAGTGCATTTGTGCCGTTGTTTCCCTATGGGTTTTATGGTCTGTATAACGGGTCTAATAGCACGTCCGAAAGCGATGGATTTGTGAGCGAGTATTCTAGTGATGGGAATGGTCTAAATGCTATCGTCTCGCTGGCTGGTTTCGCCGACACGAACCCTGTGTATGACAGTATGGATGCATCTACCATGCGCTTCATGTTTGACTTGCGGGGCTCGTACAAGAACTTGACGGAAGTCGAGCAGCGTGTTAATACTATCAAACACCATAGCTCCCTCTTTGCGTACTGGACTGCTGATGAGTAGGTTGCCCCTTTTTATTTCAATATCTGCGCATCTTGCCGGTTCATCTTCGTGTATCTACTAGATATAGTTGTTTTGATTTTACTGACTGTATTCTAGGCCCGATGGCTGGCAAGTCCCCTTCGACGTGACTCCCGCAGCTCAAGCCTTAATACACGACCTGGACCCGTACCACCCAGTCGCCGTCACACTCAACTGCCAAGACTACTACTTCGGGGAGTACACCACCGGCGCAGACATCATCATGACAGACCCGTACCCCATAGCCATCAACAGCACCTTCTCCAAATGGGGCACGGCCTGCAACGCCACCCTCGGCGACTGCGGCTGCGACAACTGTGCCGGCAACGTCCAAGACGTCTCCTCCCGTCTCGACGGCCTCACCCGCTACGAAACTTGGCTCGGCCGCTGGCCCTTACCCAAGTTCATCAACCCCCAGGCCTTCCACGGCGAAGACTACTGGTTCCGCGACCCGACGCCCGCCGAAGCGTTCGTCATGAACGCGCTCGCGTTTAATCGCGGCGCGACGGGCGTTTTTGCGTGGACGTGGCCCACGAGCCAGGAGCTGTTCGATGCGCACTCGCAGATGGCGGGCACGGTTACGAAGGCGCCGGTTAGCGAGTTCTTGCTGAGTGGAAGACCGGGTGGGTTGGTGCGCGTTGCGGAGTACGAGCTTCTTGATGTGGCGTACTGGAGTAGGGGGGCGCAGATGATGGTTAGTGTGGTGAATGGGGCTGATGGTGAGATTGCGGCGCCGTTGACGATAGCGCTTCCTAAGAAGGCTAGGGGTGTAGCGGCGGTGCCGTTTGGGGGCCTGGAGTGGGAGCTGGCGGATGGGGGGTTGAGGATTGGGACGCTTCCTGGTATGTCGGTTAGTTTTGTCATTGTTGACTTGGAATAGGGGAAATAGGGGGTAGTGGTATGAGGTAGACTACCTACCTAGGTATGCTTGAAGCTTATTGTTGAGAGATACGCCGCATCTGATACATTGGCATAATGTGTTCCGCGCCGTCTAGATGCACAAGCAACGTTTCACTTGGCCTGTGACCATCATGGGCTACTAGCGACTAGCTTCCATCATCCCCCCTAAACTCCTTTTAAAATCATCCCTCAAGATGCTGTCTCGCATGCTCCGATCGTGGCCATATCCCGTCTCCCAATCACCAGCTTCTCTCTGCTTTCCTTCTGGTTATTGGCTTCTCACTTCCAGGGATCTTCTCCGTGACCTCTCCCTTTTCAATGTCTTGGCAACAATGTACATCGCTGTTTGCAGCACGTGGAGAGCATCGTAGAAACTTCCTACTAGGTACCTACCCACTGCTAAGATCTACACGAGCTTAACGGTCATTGGTTCTGTTCACGTAGAAGGGACGATCAGTGATGCGCATGTTGAATATCCGTATCCATTACAGGATGATGGCGACCTTCAAGGGTATCATCGCAACTACATATAAGATACCGCCAGTTTGGCTGAGCTAGGTATAGGAGACGAGTTAGCCAAACATGCCTGGATATCGAAACTCTCAAGACGGGAATCAAGATTCAGGACCTACATAGATCGCGCCAGCCATGTCCTTCATTCGCACATTCCATTGGTGCACGTAGAACCCAACATCTGTCGAGATGTCGTAGAGCAGGTAGAATACGCCGACAACGATGGCCTAGTTAGTGAATTCAAGGTTACTACCAGATATAGGGAGGAACTTTCTCCAGTAGAAGAGACATGACATGGAAGGTAAAAAGCACCGTGATCATTGACGAATCGTGAAGCCTTGTCTGGTTCTCTATATGATGCTACATGTGGGGTACAAGGTCTAATTTTAGATAAGGCGTTTGGGGCTGATTGTTCGACGAGCCAGCCTTATATCGCCTTGTGCGACGAATCGTGCCAGTGTGCAGATCAGGTTTCACCTATCCCCGCCTTCGATGGGGGCTGGATTAGGAGACCGAAGTCATTTGAATACATAGAGTTATATAGACAGTCTAATGTTATACTACCACTACACGAAGTAAATGAACTTCTTCAAGATCATGGACATAATCGGCCTAGGCTCTAGAATAGTTGAATTAGGCTAATTGGCTATGGCATCTACATCGGAACCTGGTTGTGAGATATCCAAAACACACGCTCATAAGTATTCCGCCATCTTGTAAGTGTACCTACCTAATGGGCATATAACTGTATCATAAGCTGGTGTTCTATAGCCCCTTAGCGGCAGCCAAGAGGGTTTGGCTCGAAGTATACTAGGTATATAGATCGTATACCCAATCCATACAGCCGTTCATATACAATGAGACACTAAGCCTTGCGGAGGAATATCTACGAACGGAAATTCGACCACGCGCTGTACATGCGCTCTTCCTGACCGGCGGTGAATTCCTCGTAGCAAGCACTGTGAGTTCGAGTTTAGTATCATACGAGGACAGGTCAAGCGAAAGAGGTGGAAACGTACTCATCAGAATAATCCATGTAGTTGTGGATGGGGTCAACACCACCTCCGGGGCAGCTGTCGCGGCCGATAGGGCAGCCAGAGGAGGAGGATGCCTGGGGAGGAGTGTCGGCGACGGAGTCTCCGGTGGCACCGCAGCCACCCTGGAATGTATGGTAACTAGTGCACTAATTAGCATATCCCAATCTAGAAGTTTAACGTGTGGTCGTAGCTTACAGATTCATCCAGTGGCCAACCTAAATGGTAAAATCATATTAGTTCCCTCATTGCGTACTAAAGTTGAAGGTTTAGGATTGCTTACTTCGTGAACAACGGTGCCGCCGAGATTGTAGGGTGCTGCCGACCCACCGGGAACGGAGTTCGCAAGGACGGTGCATCCATCCTGGTAGAACTCTGTCGAGCCAGAAGTAACGTCGTCCGGGAAGTAACAGTAACTGATATAACGTCAACAGCAAATCCTTATAAGAACTTTTTAGAATTAAAAGCCAAAGCACCACGTACCCAAGCAAGCCACCACCCAAGTTTCCAAGAAGGTAGATGTTGAGGTCCGAGTACGTGCCCTTTCGAAGCGCCCTCTTCATCGCGAGCTCGTCCCCATCCGCAGCCCAGTTCGTGTTAACAGTCCAGTCAGTGCTGACCAAGTTGAAGGTAATGCCGTGAACACCGTAGTCGTCGTTCATAACCTGGAGCTGGTCGTCGATCATTTGTTGCTTTGATGCAAAGGTTAGCGTTATGCGCTGAGCACGCCCCCCCCCCCCCCCCCTCACCCCGCCCCCTTTTCCAAAATCCGTCCATCCAGCTAGCTAGCTTAGGTACTCACGGTCAGGTACCCATCTGCGACCGTTCGAGAAGCGGCCACAACGTGGAAATAAAGGTTCACGCTAAAAGCCTTAAGGGCGCGACCCTCGCCCTTTAATTGCAGCTCCCGATCCTGGGCAAGGAAGGCTTCTGAGGCGGCGATCTGCTTCGCCGTCGGCTCAGGGGTGCCGCATAGCCTCGTCGTGTAGTTACCGCTCTCCCGCGGGAGGATGTAGTGGGCTGCGGCGGAGGAGGCCAGCAAGGCGGCGGTGGCGATGGACTTGAAGAACATGGCGAAAATATGATTTGCGAAGGCAAAAGCGAGAGTATGTGATGATGACTAGAAGAGGATGAAGGTTGCGGTTGGCTATGAGGTTAGAGAGAGCGTCTCCTGTGCGGTTTATATAACCCGCGGGCTCAGATAACGCCTCGGTGATCAGAGAGACATCTGCAGCATAGCTCCGTCCACGCGAAGGGCACCTCCCTCTCAGCTACCTGCCTAATCGGCATCATAGTGGTATCGCCTGCACGCAACGGTTCGACGCATACAGAACTTTGCGATAGGGACAGGTACAGGTACCGTTGCGTGACGCGTCACCGGCCAATCAATACCTCCTGCCGTATTACAGCTGGGCTTAGTCGAGGCGCGCGATGGGTGCCCGCTGCGACTCTGCACTGGAAAGGCCCTTTGACGTTTCTAGAAGACTAATCTTCGAGATAGGTAGATGCTCTCGCCTAGCAAAGCCGGCGCCCTGCCCATCCCTTAAGCAGCAGGTTGCCAGCGACGAAACCCCCCTAACGCTATATCAGACTGTCTATAAGAAGAAGCTGGACTGACCCCGGTCGAGCGCACCTGATAAACAATCCCAATAATCTCCGTGCACTTGGTCCTATCGGCTCCAGAACCGACCGGGAAACGGTGTGGTCAGCATGCAGATGTTGATGTTTTGCATCCGGTGCTATCGGGCTAGGACCGATCACGGCAGCTTGGCGGGAGGGAAGACCCTGGATCAGCAGGAGCGGTGCACAGCTATAAGTGTCGACTATTGTCCACCGTATGGTAGCATTGGGAAATCAGCTTGTTTGAGACTCCGACCTTATGGGCGTATCTAGCTGCCATTCCTGTCGCTCACTAAAAGCTGGGCAATAAATACCACCGCCCAATTACCGACGTCGCGTTTATTAAAGTTGGTCACCCGCCTAAGAATGTGAAAGATAAGGGTAACGGCCCAGTGGGAAGCGAACATGACCGCTTGCCGTTTAGGGATGGTGTGTCTTATACTATCCTAGGTAGACCATCGCAGCCTTGTCGGCGAGAACGTCTGATGACGTGAGTGCGCAATCTAATTAGGAGTCAGATTCATCTAATTGATAGTCTTGCATCATAGTCACGGCGTTGAGATAATCAGATGAATATTAAAGCTGACCGTTATCGTTCATGAGAGTTAGATCGGACACAACATTTTGTGTTCTTAGCCAAGAAGCCAAGAGATACGGTTCCATTAAAGAGAGGCTGCCAAGCATGCAACCATCAAATCTACCGATCCTGTTATGTTGAGCTCTAGCGCTATCTCAAGTCGATGAGTGAGAAACAATTTAAAAGTGATTGATTGTGCTGATATAATGTAGAGACTTATCTATTAATTATTCTTTGAATTCTCCGTCAACTTCGGATCGCATCGCTCACACCGGTAGAGGGGCAACGAAATCAGACCATGTGTATCTATCATTTAATAGGTGAGTTGCTGACGCCAGAACTCATGTTGAAACTATTGTAGATGCTTGCGGTCTAATATAATAGGTACCAAAGAAGGCGAATTGATTCATGATCAAGGCTGGAAATTTGCGCCTTATTGATCAATACTGTTTGCGATTACTCACGATTCTGTAGCTCTATAAGCACACATTCTCCTTCATGGGGACACGGATGAATCATTTCTTGCGCTTTTAGGCACCTTCGGTCAATTGTAAGAATTTGAATATTATAATCCACTTCTATAGACCGATTCTCACACGTTTATTGTGTTCCTAGTCTCAAGTTGTGATTTGGAGCTGTGTTGTGTTTTGCGATATAAGTGCAAATAGTTCTTAACCCTAGAAATTATTCAATAGTACGCAAACAACAACGTGATGACGAGCATACCTAGATCCCGTGATAATCTATTGATATGTATTCAGTGCTGAGTAACGTTGACTGTAGATAGTTTTGGATATTTCTCTTAGACACGGAGACACTAAACCACATTCCCTCATGTTCCCGTAGGTACAGATCTTGTGTAAAAACCTCATCGTTGAAGAAAAGGGGTTTATTGAATCGCTCATTATTACCCCGTACCTTGCCTACACCCCAGGTTAGTTCAGGACAACCCAAGATCCCCGGTCCCAGCAAAGCAGCAAAAGCCACCCAGGAGCCCACGAAAAGGGGCTAGGGTATCCCCGCGAATATCCTCAATTCGCCCTAAGCTCCTCACCGGGGCTATATTTTCGGCCTAATACTTTGTCGTGACCCCTCAAAACCGCGGCCTTGTTCCTTGCTTAATTCATCCATTACCCGCTGATCCACGCCTGAACTTGGATAGCTCCCGACGAACATCCCCACAACTTTAACGCATACCTGGGTACTCCAGCTGTGATGGGGAAAAAACGTGCCGATGCGATGCAACTGTCCGCCGCGTAATGCTGCATAAACATTAATATCATGTTCACCGTATCGAATTGCCGGTCTATCCAGACCTCTACGTTACCTATATAAAACTCGCCGTACACCTTGGATCAGGCTGGATTGAATTGACACTCCTCGAATCTGCAGTATCTACCTAGTAGTACATGCACTGAGCCCGTCTTTTCGCCCAGCATGCATCGCCCTTTCGTGCTCCCACTCGCGATTCTCGGCGGCTCAGTTGCCGTCGCAGCCGAATGCACGACCGCAGCCTTCGAGGCGATCCTCGTGAACCACCCGGAGGCGACGATCAACCTGGTCGAGGCCGTGCCGCAGAACGGCAGCTTCGGCCAGCCGGACACGGACATCCCGTTCCCCGAGAAGGCGACCAACCTGCAGGCGCTCTGCGCCGTCAGCATCAACGTCAAGTCCTCCGAGAGCTCGTCGTACAACTTCGGCCTGTTCCTCCCGGATACCACGTGGAATGAGCGGTTCTTGGCAACCGGGAACGGAGGGTTTGGGGGCGGGATTAATTGGTACGGAGCCAGTGTGATGTCTAATATTGATGTGTGACAACGCTAATTCGATATGTTATGATAGGCCTGATATGGGTAAACTGTCACAGGTAACTCGCCCAACAAGAACTCATATTTGCCTAGCTTTTCATTTACTAACGTACCAATCAGTACGGATTCGCCACGATGTCAACAGACACAGGTCATTCATCTGATGTCAGCGATGGTTCATGGGGGCTCAATGCGCCCGAGAGCCTCATCGACTGGGCGCACAGGGCCATGCACGGGTCTATCGTCCTGTCAAAGGTAACTCGATTTGGTCTATACTATGATGGCTACGGCTACTAATACTTAGATGTTAGGAGATCATCACCGCTTATTATGCTCCGCCGGATGGTATCAAGTACTCCTACTATGCCGGCTGCTCGACAGGGTAAGTTTAAGTCCAGCCTACCCGAAAGAACGCCTAAGCTAACTCAGCACAGTGGTCGACAGGGCTTAAAGGAGGTTCAGATGTATCCCGATTCATTCGACGGCATCTCCGTTGGAGCCCCGGCCTGGTGGACCGTCCGTCTAGCAGCTATCACCCTACAGCAAGGCCTCTACAACCGCCCCGACAATTCTTCCGGGCACATCGATGCCTCGCTTTTCCCTGCCGTCGTAGCCGAGATGGAAAAGCAGTGTGACCCCCAGGACGGCCTCGTCGACGGCATCGTCAGCGACCCCTTCGGCTGCAACTTCGACTTCGAGGCGCTCCTATGCACGCCAGCCTCAAACGCGTCGGCATGCGTCACACCCGCCCAACTCGCGACTCTGAATAAGTTCTACAACGCCTGGGTCGACGCGAACCAAACCCTCGTCTTCCCCGGCGCCGCACTGGGGACGGACCCGACCTTCGCCATGGGCCCCAGCCTGTCGAGCCTCGGGTACGGCCTGTTCCAGTGGTGGGTGTACAACAACACGGAGTGGGACTACACCAAGTTCACGTTCAACGACGTGCTCTTCGCGGACGCGATCAACCCCGGCGGCGCGACGGCCGACAACTTCGACCTCAGCCCGTTCCAGGACCGCGGCGGCAAGATCATCAAGTACCACGGGCTCGCGGACGCGCTGATCCCGACGTCGAGCAGCATCCACTTCTACAAGCAGGTCGCGCAGACGCTTGTCCCCAAGGGCGTCAGCCTCGACGACTTCTACCGCTTCTTCCTGATCCCCGGGATGAACCACTGCTCGGGGTCGACGGTTGCGCCGTGGTATATCGGCGGCGCGAGCCAGGCGATCAGCGACATCACGTATTCCGTGCCGGGGTACGTGGACGCGGACCACGATGTCATCCTCGCCATGGTGAAGTGGGTTGAGGAGGGGAAGGCGCCCGAGCAACTCATCGCGACGAAGTTTACGAATGATACGCTGGCCTCGGGCATCGAGAGCCAGAGGCCGCTTTGCCCGTATCCGAAGCAGGCGAAGTATGTGTCGGGTGACGCCAAGAGCTCGGGGAGCTGGGAATGCCAGAGTCTGTACTGAAGGTTTAGGATATAAAAGTACTTGATTGGATAAAAGAGTGTACATACGTAATGTCCTGTAGGGATTTTGATCATTAATAGTATCTAGTAGTTTGGGATAGAAACCAGCTATTTTGCATTAGGTATTCCATAGTACTCGTGACGACGCCAGGCCGTGTTTCTATCTACAATTCGCTTATAACTATGCACGCTTCGCTGTAAGGACGACCTATTTACAAATCATACCAGTTGGAACCATATCCTCGTGCATCGAGCCATTGGAGAGCTTCGCCCATACCCTTTTCAAGCATTAGTAGGACATGATAGATATCCCAACCATCGTGATCGTCGTCATGATGGATTCCAGGACTCGCGCCCCTCCCTGAACCCCACTTCACACACCGTAAATGTGACTCGCCTTGCTGCACTTTCTAGTCCCCAACTTTTTGAAATCCCAATTTCCAAGTCGTGGCAAAAAAAAAAAATCGCTGGAGCCACAGGATCCATAAAATTCATAACCGATCGGGAGGCCATATGCAGTATGCATGCCATTCTTGCTCGCGATTTCTCCACCGCCTGCAGGAAAACAGGCCCAATTACAGTTTACTCCGTAGAAACACAAACATAGCTTCGGCGCGCGCCAACACATTTCCGTCTCCGTCTTCGATCCGGCCCTCTAGAATGTACTTGCGCCCCTCGACTTTCACGGCCCTCGCTCGCGCGAGAATAGTCGCGCACGTCGGCACGGGCCGGACGAACGTCGTGTTGAGGTACGCGGTGAAGTACGGCCTCTCGGGCAAGAAACCCCGCTGCTGGTTAATGGGTATGAGGAGCCCCAAGACCTCATCCATGATGGCGGCGACGATGCCGCCGTGGCAAATGTCCGGGTGCCCGTTGAGGCCGGAGCCAAGCGTGAGGAAGGTGTTGATGGAGTCCACGGGGTCCGTGGGGGAGATGGGGTCCTCGTAGAACTCCAGCATGGCCAGGATGGTGTACTGCGTCCTCAGCGTCTGCGAGAAGAGGGAGTCCTCGCCATTGGACTTGGAGACCCGGCTGGCGGGCTGCCCGGTGATGATTCGGGAGCCGCGCAGGTGCCGAGCGCACCACGGGATGGAGGCGAAGTGCTCATAGTCGGATGTTGCGACTTCGGGGTCTGGCATTATGTACATATAGGGTCGGTCTAGTTTCTCTCTCACATACAGACACACACACACGCCCACACACTCTCAGTGCTGTCTCTTGCTTTTTTTTACTCTCTATTAGGTACTTTATAAATCAAGAGTATTAATTGTTCATGTTGGAGTAGGGTTGGTTGAGTGCGATGATGAAGTAAGTGACATTTATTTAGCGCGTAAACAATTGAGATGATGAGTAATGAGGGAGGTGAAGGAAGAGGTCAAGGATTTGAGTCCCGAAAAAACAAGCAGAAAAGAGACAAAAGCCGAGGTACTTAACTTGATTCGTTGTTTGTTGTTCAGGCCTTGTCTTATCGCCAACCATCCTTGCCTTATCAGCTATCCCTGCGAATGGTACGACGACGCATGGACCACTTCAATTCCTTCTTGTTTCAAAGCTTAATTGTTTTCGATGGAACTCGTTGACTTCGAGAGTCACAACTTCAATTGATAATTAAAAAAGTTTCATTAATACCCAGCATTATTCGTGTGCGCAAATTGTTTTATCCGTGCTGGCATCAAAGCTGATACTGATGGTATGAGCTTCTAATTAACTATTGGTATTTTGTCTCCAGAGAAAATAAAATAATAAGGGGATCGAAAGGGGCCTAAAAGGGGTTAATTGCGATGAATTACATAATCATCCGAAGGATTCAGTTAGCATTAAAGACCCTCAACTCTTCAAATTCCAGCAAGGCGCAACATCACTCCGCTACAGATATCCGCACCTAGTAATGTTTCCCAACGCAAAGTCTTTAATCATCCATTTCTCATATCTTCAAATATTTCTTTTGGGGGATTAGAACGATATTGATTGCATTATTTCGATTTAGTCACGTGACAACCCGGAGACATCACACTGAAGGGGTGAGAAATCTGTGAGACTGATTTTACGCTTTTTGGTAAGGTATTTTACATGCAGAAAATTTCCGCTCGTTATATAAATATGCAGCTCGTTCCCATTACATTGCACAATCTTACAGGAAACGATGAAGATGAACAAGTGTCGTTGCATGCCCCAATGCACCGCAATTGCTCCGGAATCTCCATCTTCGTTTTAGCCACACATAATCCTGAAATCTGGCTATGCAGGTACCTACATAAGTGTTGACGGATCTGCATATGTACGTACTGCCTTCAGTGGAGCAATATCGCACGTGCAGTGGTCATGTGAACATAGGAAGGCAGTTGCTCCCAACCCACAACAAGCAAACGGCAGGCGCAACGCTCGATAAACTCCTCACATGGTAGCAAATAAACCCTGCACTTGCACATCATATGGCTTCGTGGTGTAGTGGTTATCACATCGGTTTCACACACCGAAGGTCTCCAGTTCGAACCTGGGCGGAGTCATTTTTTTTCTTTTGTAATTCTGCGAATCATTTGTATGACAGGGATTGGCTGTGGAGAGACTGGAGCTTTGATGAGATCATATATAATGAGCATGTGCTCCTTGAGATTGCAGATATCTTTTCTCTTTCTGACAGAGCACACCGTCCAAATGGAATGATCCATCACTCTACTATATGTGCAATAATGCTCTTCTTTTTGGTTTCAGCTATGTTCTTGCTATCGTAGTAGACAGGTACATATCTACTTATATGAGTATCTAACTCATAATCAGACTCCTTTACTCTCCGCCGCATCTCTTTTACGTGAAACCATTGAGGTCTGATTATCGTCCCAGCTCAGTCAGGGAACGAGTGAGCCAGCAAGCAACTCAATATAGGTGCAAAAGCTCAATAGGCTGCTTGAATACATCGCGTTTATTTATTGACCATTTTGTTTAAGGCGTGAAAGAGTTCGCCCAAGTACATAGCTAGGCAGTTGAGCCTTAGTTACAAGCGACAGAAGAGCCAGTATAATTCCCAACATCCCGTGGGATATTCCCTCCCAACTAAATACCTGACATAGATACTAGGTATTTAAGTCCATGGCTCGTTCCTTATCGCTCTAACTGCCGCCGCATTTATCTGATCAGGAATGTCCCAGATAGCGTATCCGCAGCATCGCAAGTTCCTATCAGTATCACTCAAGATACTCCCACGCATGTATTTGTTCCTGTGGGTGAACAACCAAACCTTGAAGGCCGCCGTGTCAGTCGAATCGTATTTGGTGTCGAACTCTCCTGTGAATCGAGCCCAGTCGTCTGCAGAGTAGGACCTCAACGGCGTAGTCTCTAGGCCGGCAACCGCAGTTCGATAAGCAGTAGTCATAAAGCTTAGGCTGGGGCCAGGATAGAATCCGATGTCAAAGTGTACGCTAAAGTCCTGGCGGAGGAAGAGCCGAGCCTTCTCCTGGTTGCTCTTCGGGCCAATGAGATCCGCGATTAATGGGAGGCCATGAGTAATCTGGAGGGCAAAAGTTAGAGAGCTGAGAGAACATGTGTATCAATGGCTTGGTGTTGTGGGGTGCTGGACTTACTATCTGATGGACGTAATTGACAGCCCGATGTCGGAGATAATCATCATCATTGATGAACTTATTAAAGACCACGGGCCCCCATCTATCGTCAAGCGCGGCAATATCTGATTGAATCTCGGGGAGTACTAAGTAGAGAGAAAAGAAATAGAATGTTAGAAAGTTCTTTTTTTCTACGAGAAAGGGCAACATCGGGTGAACTTACCTTGTCGAATCTTTTTCTTGAGAAACTCATACGCGCAGAGCATCTGTTCGTTGACCCAGGGAGAGAATGACCCAAAGAATTCCCGGATGGGTCTGTGTCGTACGGGGTCATTGTGGTCCAACCACGCGCAATCCCACGAGCAGAACATACTGCACATGAGATCGAATCGCAGCATGGCTCGTTCCAGGCGGAAGGTCTCCACTGCCGACGCCTTCTCCAATGGATGGCCTAGCCGGAACTTCTCGGCGGCGAGAGGCTTTACCTCCTCGGCCATCAACTGGGCCAGGAACTTGGCAGCCGCGTAGGTCTTACTCATACCAGAGTAGTGCCACTTGGGCAGACCGCTAAGACTGGCGTCAACGAGGGCTTTGTCTGCCATCAGCGATGGTAGGCGAGACATTGCAGTCAGGAACTCGATCCAGCCGCCATCGTCTGACGATAGGAGAGTCATTGAAAAGGGGAGCAGGTCCTCGGGAATCTGCGCGGTGATGACGGCCTTGAGGATCAAGCAAGTCTGGAGCTCAAACGCAGTTTGGAAGACGCGATGGCTCTGGATTACGGGATACACCTCTTGGACTGTGTCACACTGGGATAAAATGCTAGCCGCTACATCAAGTGATATCTTGTCAATAGGGCTTGATGAGGGCTGAAAGGCGTTGGGAGGAGGCATCGTTACTAGTCTGTGGGGGGAAGAAAATAATTGTGTGGTGATGGTGTTGAAGTTGAAGATGAATGTGAAAAAATAATTGTTCGGTAATGTAGTTGTGGGTGAAGAGGGTATGGATAAATTGGAAGGTGGGGGACGAAGAGATTCTGTGCTGGTAGGAAAGAACCTGGAATCTACTAGGAAGGAAGGAAGCAATGCCAGATTTCGTCTGCCGTCTGAATTTGTCAGTCCACTGGCTGAATGGCCGAATGGTCGAATGAAATATAGGACAGTGGAAAGAACGGAAAACACAAGACCCGCTTTCGAGGTTTTCAATGATATGGAAAATACCGAAGCAACTTCCTCACCACATCAAGACGACTTGGTGGTAAAAAGGTTCTTCCACAGCTTAGAAAGATGAGCACTGACCTAACCTTCTCCTTCCCTATTTGAATCATGCTCAGTACGGTAAAGGGTCGATGCCACTAGATCCCTGTCAGTTTCTTATTTTATACCTAGTAAGTACTGTTTACAGTAACTAGGTGTCCCATAGGGAAGCAAAAACCTAACGAGTTCTATTTGAACTGCCTCTAAATTACTCGTGAGTTTCCCGGGCGAGTAGGCTACAAGGCTGAGCCGTCAGATATTCAAGGCTCCGAGCTCCTCTATCGTTCTAATTTGGCACTATGACTACCACTACCGCGTCTATCATACTTTGTGTATATCTATCTAGTAACTAGCAGCCCTGATGTAAGAAAACCAGTAAGCTTATTACGGAAGATGGTGTAAGTTATATGTAGTACGATACCTTATAAAAGCTTCATACTATGTCTAGCATGCTTATGAACTAAAGACCTTATACGGATTCTAGTTGAAGACATGATGGATATGGAATGATATGGACAGGTACCTATATACAAGTATATAAGTACCTAGGCACTGGGTGCCGTAGGTTCTGGGTGTTCAGGCGGCAGGAGCCGTGCGGAATAAGGTTCGCTAGCCCAGGGTCTAGGCCGAAATATACCTGGTCCTCATGTGGGTCCGGAGCCGGGGTCGGAGCCGGGGTCGGGCCATAGCTCCTTCCTCAGGTTGAGTTTATGGCAGGAACAACCCAATCTCAATGACTAACTAACAAGATAAAATTACAAGAACTACCCTAGGTATGGATAAAAATCACAATGTAAAAGTTAATTAGTTGTGATCTTGTCGTGGATTATATTTCTGAGGGTGCAATGTTGATTTTGACGTAGGATTGTGTTAATGGTGACCATCCCACGTGCCTGTCAAATTAATCACGGCCCTTTGTTAGGATGGGATCATGTGATCTGAAGTCGGTCACTTGATACTCTAATATGTACCTGTTTTACAAGTTCTTGGTTTTGTTCAAAACATTCTTGCCTTCAGCATCATATATCATGATACGGACTTGGTACTCAGATACTAGTATTATCAGTAGGGTCCTTGTTTGTGCAATCTGCGTACGTATTTCAAGGAGTATGAAAATGAAAAACTGCCCCACTGGCTAGATATTCTATTTTGATCGTGATACAGCGTGATATGGAGAGAGACAATGGTGAAAGGTTAATATCTCTTGTTGGGACATAATTAACGTGCTAGATCTATATAGATACGACACACGGGGCCATGTAGCGTAGCTATGTTAACTGTGGTAGCAAAAATCTGACAAAACCAAGTCGTGTAATTTATTGCTGATCACGTGATATCCTGACGGGTAGTGCGTTTGCATTTACATCTCAAATTCTTCTGTTTGCTCATGGAATTCTACTCTCTTGATTAATAAAACTTTTACATCAATAATAGTGTTATCTCATTAAATCTGTCTTGTCACCATCCTGACTCAGGCAAGGGATCCGTCTGGAGTAACTTTGAGAAGGTACCTTGTACACTTGATTATGGACCATGGGATACTTGTAGGGCTCGAGGCTCGGGAGCTTGGGCTTCCAGCATATTTTAACCTGGATAATTCTTCTTCAGCTCATCAGCCCCCCTTCGGTTCGTGTTAAATGCAGAACAATATATCTGTGAACCAACTCGAACAGCTTCATCATGACCGTCCCACGCATCATTGAGTTGGCAACACGCATTGCTGCATATATCACCCGTTTCGTCTGCCGAAATGTACCACTTTATCAGTCTGAGTACTAGGTATGAGAGGCCGTGATGAAGAGGAAGACAAGACTTGAAAAGAAATATTGGCCATGATACCACTCAGGGCTTCTCCCTGGCCAACAACACCGACCAGCCCATGTATGACTTCGTATCGGAACACCTAGAGCGCTCGCGTCGCCTTGCCAATATAATGGTATGTCTTTTGCTTAGACCATACGGGCATAGTCTACAGGTCATCTTCTCGTAAGCATATTAATATGGCTAACACCCTTGCAGTTCGTATAAACTCTCACTCCTATCCCATCGTCCTTAGACGGGGACGGCTTGGAAACCCTGGAAACATTCTTGAATATTATGTCTCGATCTGTTAACACGAATCTTTCTCCGCACTATACAAAGCTTCACAGGGGGAAGGGCCTTCGACTTCAGATTTATCACAGACTTTTATCTTTGGGAACAGCACTCCCGCGGCACAGTTGTGGATATAAGTTACGTGCAATACTCGGCGTCAATTCACTACCATTTAACATTCTCAGGTAGGCGACTCGCAAGGCTTCGTATGCGTAGCCCTCGCTCGCAAGTTCCACTCCATCTTCTTCATCGTCCAGGACCTCGAGTGTGTCGTCACGGAGTGCAGCAAAAACGCTCCCTCGGATGCTTCCAGCCAGATATTCTTCATGGCGCACGACTTCCTCACGCCGCAGCCTATCTACGGTGCAGACGTCTACTTCTTCCGGTGGATCTTCCACAACTGGTCGGACAAGTATTGCATCAAGATCTTGCGAAATCTCATTCTGGCTCTAAAACCGGGTGCGAAGATCATCGTTAGCGAGGCGATACTGCCGGGCCGGGAGAGATCCCGAAGACGATGGAGATGCGGGTGAATAGTTTTGATCCGGTTATGACTTCAATGCAGAACGCGAAGGAGAGGGAGCTAGAGGACTGGGCGGAACTGTTCCGGAGTGCGGATGAGCGGTTCGAGTTGCAAGAGCCTATACAGCCGCCTGGTTCGCATCACTCCATAATGGTGGTACTGTGGAACGGCCCTTAAATTATTCACGTATTGTTTAGAACTTTCTCCAGGGCTGCGCACATAGCTAACTATAAATCGAAGATTTCTACTACTTTTCTTCCGGCTCTTCTTATGAGTATTGCATTAGTCGTGTGCTTTGAAAATTTGGTGCGACCTAGAGCTAAGATAGGGGTAGTGAAGATGAGAACATAGTGTGGAAGGTGACGCAAGCTGTATAAAGTGAGACAGAAACCCCGTGGATAGGACTCATTCAAGAAGGCCAGCAGCCTATTTATTGTTCAAAATGAGCCTTTTATTCATACCTATGTAACCTAGGTAGGTATCAACGTCGGTACTAGATCCGTTCTTCGGCCTACGCTCCGCTCGGTCATTTACTAACATCCATAACTTCATAACGCCGTCCCTTCCATACCTAGGTATCCAACTCCAAAGGCTAAGAAAGCCAGGATCTCAATCATTCAACTCCGTCCGTTCGCCGTTCATCACCGATGCTATCAACATAGACATAGGTACCACCCCAGCCCCTTAAACCCCCCCTGCCTATCCCAACCACCATATGCATTATTCTGTCTCCGGTATTATGTCCAACCCATCACTTACAAGTCCAGCACTCCCCAACTTGCTCGTACCCAACCCCCCAATCCGTCGGGTACCTGCAGTACAACGAGTACCCATGGCACGCGAGGTCCCCCTGCTTCATCACGCACTCGGCCGGGACCCGCGGCATCACGAATGGCTTGCAGTCCGGGTCCGATCCTGTTGTTGCCGAGGGTGATGAGGGGGTGGTGGCGGTGTCGTTGGCGACGATGTTCGACCCGAACGCTTGTATGTAGGTCTCGGAGAGCCCGTAGTGGTGGTGGTTTAGGGGTGCGGAGGTGGTTAGGTGGGGGAGAATGGTGAGAGTTGCTATGGGTAGGGAGATTGTTGGTCGCATATTTGGTTTCTCTTTTGGTTTTGATGTGTCGAGTTGTGCTGGGCCGTGTTGTCAGCTTAGGTGCCTAGATAGGTACCCAGTAGGCCTTCACTTTTGAATGGTTGTCGCTTTGGACTTCTGCAGAAGGATTGACTTGCTTGCTCGCACTTCCTTACAACTCTCTATGATGCGCTTGCGATACTTATATACTGGTTACGGTGAGTCCTCGGCCGAATATCGTCATTGCCCATGTGACGTTTTGAGTCTTGGGCATGGTTCTCGGCTAAATGCAATTTGGGGACAGAAATATCTAGAAAGGACAGCAAAGCTGTTCGGATATTAGCAGCCTTCATCTTTAAGACGGTTTTTGATTGGATGTCTTTAACAGCCGAACACCTGGTTCGGTATTTATTCATTTGGTATGATGGTTGATGCGGAACTGGCCTGAAGCTATACAGACTTCCCTCTCTACGTAGGTACTCAATGTTTAATTGACAGTCAGACTTGATACCGACATGAACGTCTTTACATTAATTCATATCTCAGCTTCGAAAAGATTCTCTAATCTTCCGAAGTCTACCTACCTAGTAATTAACGTATACCGCAAGATCCCCTCCCAAACACCAAGACCAGGTCCCTTTTACATCATGACGCATACCCCCCAGCCCCTAGTTGCCTATCATCAAGCTCTATCATCTATCATATCCATCAAAGTCTAGCAATTAGCAATGCGCTGAGCCTCCGCGTCTATAAAGCTCAAGGGCCGAATATGCTGCGTCATATCCGGCTTTCCGTACACGAATATCGATGGGTTCTGTATGAACATATGGTCCATGTCTTCCAGCGTCCGGTTGGAGGTTTCAGGGTAGAACAGCAGTATTATGGGAAACCAGGAGAAACAGAAGATTGCGAACACTGGGTTTAGGTTAGTCATGGCTCCTAGATGTGGAAGGTAGGTCGAATGGCTTGTGGAGGGTTAGACTTACTTAGGTAGAACGCCCATTTGAGGTTGTCGATGCCCACTTTGGTGTACTGCGTGACTACGAAGCCCAAAAGCTAGTTGCAAGAGTTAGCAACTTGGTATCTTCCCGTGGGAGCGTTTTAGGGGGTGAAGCAACCCTTAAGATGTAGTAAAAGAGATAGGATTTTGGTGTTACATACCCAATTCGTCGCAGTTGCAGCCGCAGCACCGCGGGCCCGCCAGCCCAGGGAGTTCACCTCGGCGGAGTAGATCCACGGCGTACTGGCAAATGTGACGCCGAAGAATACATGATACACGATGAACATTGCAGTCGTAACATTACCCATCTAAATTCTCAGTAAGCATACATACATAGCACAGCAATCGCGGATCGGGTGTGATCTTACCAGCTCCCTCTTCGAAATATCCGCGTCGCTCTCTCTAAGCGTAAGAGACGCGATGAGATGGCAGAGACCCATCAAAATTGAACCCCACATCATAAGTCTAGCACGGGGGGTTAGCTAATGTCATATTCAGAGTTCCCTTAGGTAAACGGGTCGATCACGTACTTTCGCCGCCCGAAGCGGTCAATGCCAATCAAGCTTCCAAATGCCGAAATGAGGTAAACCGTACCGTTGACGGCTGCGATCAGTCGACTCATCTCCTCGGTGAAGCCGACGTTCTCAGTCAGTAGCGTGGGTAGATAGAAACCTATTAGCGAAGAGAGTTAGTAACATCTGCGAAGCGGATGAAAAGGGGCTTGTGCGGATTCACGTACCGAGAGCGTTGATGCCGCTGAACTGCTGCATAAACTGTGTACCACATGACAGAATCAATCGGCGGAAGTTATGCGTCTTATCACGGAAGCATATGACGTCCATGAGAGGCGTGCGGTCCTCTCTCTCGAGGTCTATGGCCGACTTGATGGAGCGAAACTCTGCCGTCACACCCGCGTCGTCCATGGGGATGTCTTTCCCGGCCAGCCGGGCAAGCACATCCAAGGCCTCGGCTTCCCTGTCTACCAGTAGTAGCCACCTTGGAGAATCAGGCACGAAGAAGAGGAGCGGAGCGATCATGAAGAAGAAAATGATCTGGAAGGCGAGGGGGAAACGCCATTGCATAGGTCCCGTCTGGGAGAAGAGGGCGTAGTTGATCCAGTTCGCCAATGCAAACATGGTGACGTTTGACGAAGCGCCTATGCCCACAAGCATGCCCCGCTGGTGAGATTTGGCACATTCGGAGAGATATACCGGTGTTGTTGTGGAAGTTAATCTGCGAGGTGGTTAGTTATGCTATGCTGTGAATCTGAATTTCTGGGAAACAACTCACCCAATTCCAAGCCCATTCACTACCCGCCCGATAATCATCTGCGGTAGGCCCCAGGAAAGAAACTGCAGCGTCGCCCCTATTAAGTTCAGGATTAATCCCAACGCGATAGTCTTCCTCCTCCCAAGTTTGTCGCCAAGCACGAAGGCTGCTATTGAGCCCAGAAAAGCGCCAATCTTTGCGCATTCATTCTCAATTAGCGTTGCACCTTGGTTGTAGAGAGATGGAGAGAGCTTACGAAGAAACAACTGGAAGTTATGCCAGATATATTGGCATCTAAGGTTTCGGGGAATACTGCTTTAAAATCTGTGGAAATGAGCACGCCGGCGAATACACCCTGAGCGTCAGGAGGTCAGCAAACAGTGTGTCAGCCCCCTCAATCATCAATCAGCGAACATACTTGGTCATAACCAAACCAGCAAGATGAAATGGTATCAACAAGCGTTATCATGGCGATGAGCTTGCCGCCATAAATGGTACTCTTATGGCGTATCATTTTGGTCTTTTAGTAAAAGCGTAGGTATCTGAGTGGGAGTTTTATGAGTCTATAATACTATCTATCTTAGTATCACGATAGAAAACCGGGAGTGATTAGTGATTAAGATCTAAGATGAATGGCAATTAAGGTCGAACACAATTTTATCAATACTCAATTCAAGTGAGTGACTGTCAGTAGCAGAGTTATATGTGATATGTCCTTTCCACCTACCTATGGGCCAGCCTACTAACCTATCTATCTACCTACCCACGATAGTTGCTGACCACCTATCAATTAACCTTAGCGCTGCAAGTTGATTAAAAATGGATTTGCGGGAACGATCACACCAACCACCAACCACCAACGATAAACGGGGTGGTATTCACTTTTTACTCGCCGAGGCCGGCTGCATCACCTCGCGAATCCGGCCTTGGCTTGCATCCGGGATCACCTGCCGATGATAAACGCGTCCGGCTACGCCCCATCCACCAGCTGAGAGACGAGGTGTGGGACCGGCGCTACTGTTCACGATAGCAGGGCAGGTATGGAGAATTTGCAACTCTTCCATGATAACAGATATATCTATGACCACCGAAAAGCGATTTTCCTGCACCAGGGGGAAGGAGGTCCGATTCAGGTGGCCGGCCATTATATGTGGCTAGCCATTATCAAATTCGATGCCAATTTCCATGTGCAAATATTTTGAAAGAGCCCCGTTGTTATTACCTGGCAAATACCTAGGAATAAACCACATTTAAATGCGTTTTTAGCTTAGGACTTTTCACCACCCCCCTGAACTGTGGGTTACCGACTAACCTCAATTCGTTTTAAATGCTTCGTTTATTGAGAAAAGGTTGGTGTTCCTTGCTTTAGTACTTATGAACTAAATTCCAAACCCCCTTCACCGAAAATTCGAAGATAACACTATTCGGTTTTTTTGCGTCTTGAAAGACCATCCTCATCCACTTTCTTGCGTGTTCTAGATCTCACGGACCATGTACAACTAAGAAGTAAGGGGGGAGGAAGGGGGTTAGCAAGGGGTCTCCGCAGTTTTTCCCCTGGGGTATGAGGACCCCCATTTTGAAAAGAAAAAATCATCACGAACGTGGGACGTCTTGACATCCTTTACCAGGCACAGAACTGGATTCAAGTCCATAATAATTGCGAAATCGTCTCAATTGTTGACGAAATTTTTTATCAAAGAAGCTCATTGAATTACGAGAGACTTATTGTAGACCGTTGAAAACAATGCTTTTCTTTCATTTGCCGTCTTACCTAACTATCTACTAGGTTAGGTAGTCTGCTCTATGTTTTTCTACTTCATTTACCATTCCCATTCGCCTCCGCCTGAATCAACTTCTGCAGCGCCTCCACCGGATCTAGATTCCTCATGTGCCCGAACCTCGAGGACTCCATCCCGGGGTCTGGCGGCAGCTCGATGTTCCACCGGCGCTTGAGCACGTCCCGCATCACGTCGTAGCAGGCCCCGATCCTGATGACGTCCACGGACGGCCCGCTGAAGTCCAGCAGCGTCGAGCTGCGCCCGTGCACCCACCACTTCAGCAGCCCGTAGTCGATCACGATGTCCGCGATCGCGAGGAGCTCCTTGTTGATGTCGTCGACGCGGTACTTGGTGCCTGCGCGAACTACTCGTTAGCTGTGATTGATTGAATGAAACACAAGGTAGGTATTCGCGGAAAACAGGTAGCACTCACCGGTCCCCGACAACTTCGCCGAGCTCCCGAGCAGCGGAATATTCTCCGCGAACGTCAAGCTCGTCAGCGCATCCTGGAACGCGCCCGTATTGACCAGCAGCGACAGACTACCATTAACATCGACCGCCTGCAGGGTATCAGGGTCGATATTCTTCACCATCGGATGCTCGTGATCGTAGCGGGCGATGACGCCGACGGGGATTTCAAGGTCGAGCGCGAGGTGGTCGATGATCTCGCGGTGCAGGGGGTCGACGACGTGGACGGCGCGGTGGATGGCGTAGGAGCCGATGCCCGCGTGCCGCTTGTGCGCGCCGCGCTGCTTCATCGGGAAGATCTTCTCGAGCGACTTGACGTTCGTCGCCATCACGGCGTAGCCGACGTCCGCCGGGCAGATGGCGATGCCGCCGCGCTTGAGGACCTCGAGCACGCGGCGTGCGTCCGCTTGTACGTCTGGGCGGCCCATGGCTGGAGTATAGGTAGATCAAGTAGAGTTGGGAGAGTTGGTGAAGGTTGGAGATGCGGACATTCGCTCACTCATGTTAGTTTAGGTAGGTAGGGTCAACGATGTCGTTGAACTTATGCTGCTCTGCCCCCCTGGTAGCTACTGTCTATTACCTCGTACGTTGAACGTGCATACAGCAAAGTGCAAAAGGTCCTATATGTAGGTGAGGAATGTAGTTCTCATCACACTTTGTTCCTGGTACGAGCAAGCGTCTATGGAAACCTAGATGATATAGAATGTAGGTATTCCCAGAATTTTCGACGTCGAGCATTCCGAAGCGGTATGGATCAACGAATTTCAGAAGAGTAAGCAACCTGTCTGGCAAACGATTGGCTTGCGGTACGGGATAGAATGCATGCCATTTCTGGGAGGGAATATACGATAGACCACGGAAACCAAATATCAGCTGTGACTGGTTACACAATCGACCCCTATTCACACCTACCTAGGTAGTCGTCATGGCCAACGGTGGCCAAATAGCCACTCCGGAATAATGTACGCTGGACACGACCTCACTTGGAGCAGACAACGTGAACAGTTAGAGCATCATCATGTATGCCTGTTAACGTTTGATATGTACCTAGCATACGCTGGAACGGAAGTGACCCTTTTCTCCTATCACGCGAGTAGTTTTTCAAACAGACGTCCAAGCTGACCTGCGCTGCGTGTTCGAGGTTCACTAGTGGCTAGAGTCCGGGGAGCTATCCGGGACTGCGATAGTACTAGGGTAGCTCTATACGCCGCATACCCCTAAGGAGCTTGCGAGGACAGGTCTTTCCCCCTTGCCACAGCGTTAAGCATATCAACTAATTAAATCAACATGTCTAGTGTACCTGATCTCTTCATAGGAGATGCTGAGTGAAGTTCGGCACCGCACTTTTGGAAAATAAGGGAAAGACAATCCCCTGACACTAGGTATCTACGTACCTAGTAAGGATACAAGCAACTAACCTGAGTAATTACCATACTTGCAATTTCATCTCGCGACTCACCCACCCACAATCTAAGCTCCAGCCTTGATGAACTTCTCATCGAACTGTTCACGCAACGCCGAGAAAGCCTTATATACTTTCTCTAACGACCCGCCATTATCTTGCAACCATCTCGAATCCGTGGACGGGGTGTAGCTCACGCTCGCCCTTGTCGACTGCTGCCTCGTGGTTCTCGGGCTAGCAGTACTTTGAGATTCGGTCGTGCCAGAATCGCTATCCGAAGACTCAGCATCCCACGACTCCGCAATATCCTCCTTTTTTCCTTTCCCCTTCTTCGAATTCGCAGCCCCTTTAGTGCGGGGCTTGGGGGACTCGTGGATAGGAGTCTCCACCTCCTGCCTCTCCTCCGCCTCCGCCTCTTCTTCCGCCTCATCAAAAGCATCCCTGGCATCTTGCACGTCAATCATAGCATTATCATCACTTTCAGCGCTGGGATTGATGAAGTTAGACAGGCTCGTGACGATGGTGGCGAGAATGAGCGACATGTCTTTGAGATGGTACCATACATCCCCGCTCCTAATTCCGTTATATCGCTTCAGCGCCTCCATGTCTCCATGCTTGAAGAAATCGTATACATGTGCGTTCCAGGGGACTCCACCAGTCTCGTGTGGTGCAATGGGGATGTATGGGATGGCGGAGTTCTCCAGGAAGACACCCGATCGGACCGTTTCGCAGAGCTCATCTATGGTCTTGAATTTGTCGGTAAATCCAGATAAAGCGGAGAAGGGGGACCGAACTGTAGTCGGAGGAAGAGAAGATAGGATCTCCACGGTGTCTGGGTTACTCTTTGGCTCTACCTTATACTTGGAAAATGGAAGCTCGACGTCCGGGGCATTGGACAAATGCTGAGACGTGTAAGTACTCACGTAGCCTTCAAAAATGTGCAAAGTCTCCTCGTTGTGTTCCTTCAGGATACGAGAAGCTGTTGCAGGAAGGTCGGGAAGAATGACAACGGATGGCGAATGAAGCACAGTCCTTAGCCATGACTTATCGGCATATCTGGTGCAGGGGATCCGACAAAACAGGTGACAGAGACCAAGCATGATTTCGAGAAGGATGTCTGGCTGCACGGTTCCAGTCACTGAGGAGCACAGGTTATGAAAATAGCCGGCTTTCAGCAACGAGTGGAAAGCAAAGACCGCGTTCTCGGTGAAGTAAAGGTGTCCTACAAGACCCGAGAAGTTAAGGGGTATTCCGTCTTTTGACAGTAGCTGCTGCCTTCGTAGATACTCGATAGAGAATCGTAGATGATGCTCTATAGACATTTGTGCCGATGGTCCTCCAAGGAACAATCGAGTTTGGGTCAGTAAAGACTTGACTGCATTGGTAGCGTATTCCGAGTTGTTCGTACCGTGCAGGAGTCCAAATAATCGCAGCACGAGACTGACACTTGTCGGAAATTGTCCCAAGAGATCCGGCAATCTCCCTGACATGATGTTGTTGGCGCGTCTGGCTGAAATGCCGTGGAAGACGACGTTCCCAAGCACGTCAAATCCTCTTCGACCAGATCGACCTGAAGCTTGTCGGTAATTAAGTGCGCTCAGAAACACCGAGTCGCCCGCAAACACAGTTGTCTTGCAAGGCATGTTGATACCAAGAGCTATAGTGCCGGTTGCTATCACAACTGCCAAGTAGCCTTTACGAAAAAGGATTTCAACACTGAAGATACAGTCAGCAAGGGTCAGTAATAAAGGGGGTAGATTTTGTGGAGAGATATACGATTGGCGCAATTTCCGATTCAGACCTGCGTGGTGAATCCCTATCCCTCGACGGAGCGCTTCGATGAATTCTGGCCTGACGTTGACCTTGAGAGTGGCCAGTCGCTCTTCAAGCTCTTCTTTCGAGATTTTAGTCTCGTCTGCAAAGCTGAATTTCGACAAAGGAGCATTAGGATCAAAGCTTTCCCACGGGCTTCTCTCCATTTCGCCTGTGTCTCGCATCATGTCAAGCTTGCTCATGCGCTCGCCATCCATTGCTCGAAGACCTTTCTGCAACTTCTTACTCCTATCTTGCGTCTTACTCCGTGTCTGCTGCCAGTTCTCAAAGTCTGAAAGCTTTTTCTTCCACTGAGGGCTTTCCTTGAACTCGAGTTCGGCCCTTTTCAACGTTACTAGGAGGCGAGTAAGGAGCTTTTCGCATCCATCGCGGTCGTAGTTGAAGAAGATAGCTGGTAGTGCCCCGCAAGATCGAAGGTCAAGAGCGAGAGCGAAGATTGATTCGACTGGGGCAGAAGACTTATGCCCTCCCACAGTCGCAGTCAGTGGGTCTTGGGACTGATCGGTATCCGGCCCATTTCTCAACTCTTCTCGGACAGCATCAAAGGGGGACTTGGGGTCGGCCATCCAAGCCCCTAGTTGCTTCTTAAGCGCGGCTTCCCATCGAACGATGTCAGGCTTCTTGATAGGAGATACCAAAAATGTCTTGGGGTCAAGGGATTTGTCGACCTGATAAACATCATTCTCGAATTTCTTCATACACTCCCACAGAGTTAAACAGTCTCTCGGTTCTAGTGCTGCATCATTCAAGGTGTCGGGATGTCTATAGACACTTGTTAGTAGCTTCTCGAAAAGCATTGACGTATGTCTTGACTAGGTACCTAAGTGCTTACCTTCCCACCAACGCCCCAACAGGGTGTACAAAGGAGAATCTGGAAGATGAATCAACATCGTATTCTAGACCTGACAGGGGAAGTCGCTCGACAGGAGTGAGGCCTTTGAACTCAAAAGACGAAGGTGGATGGAAAATATATTTCCGGAGATCAGAATAGCGGGAGTTGTGAATTATCATTTCAAGATCAAACCCCTTCACCTTCTGCGCCCCCTCCAGCCATGACTTGAACTCATGGGGGTTTCCCACGGTAGCTGAAAGGGCAATTATAGGGCACGGCGCGAGTAGTAAGAGCTGTTCCCAGACTATACCATCTTCTACTTGACCTATACAGTGAACCTCATCGAAGATGATCCTCTTAACTCTGTTAGACCAGGACTTGGAGTCTCTGGCATTAGAGGGCGACAACAGCATAATCTGGAGGATATGAGGGACAGTAATAAATATTTGGCAACCTTGTGGGCTGTTTATGCGGTAATCTCTAGTGTGTACGGACCAGACACACCGCGATTCTTTGCTGTAGGATTTGGAGAACCGAGCCTGGACTTCAGCGGCAATCTGATTGACCAAGGCCTTTGTGGGTGCCACGTACACAATGACGTCGTCATCATTCGCTAGCAGGATCTTCTCCATAGCATAGAACGAGATAAAGGTCTTTCCTGCGGAGGTGGGTGCGACGACGAACAGGCTCTTGTCCGCATCAATCGCATCGAGAACCTTTCTCTGCCATGCATCGGGGTGGAAGCGGGCCCGACTATCTGGAGCTGAGTCAAAACTTCGCTCCATGTAAGGACCACAAAAGCTCAACTGGAATCTGATCGGATCAGAGACGGCACCCGAAGATTGCGGCAACTTAAAGTCTATATTGGCCATTGCAGGAGGCAGCGCCCGCCTAGGTAAAGTAGATACGACACCCACGTTCAACGGAATTCCCAAACTATTCGACAGGGGATGTAGTTGGGATAGGATCTCCCGTGTGAGATTCATACCGTTCATTACAAGAACCTTCGACCAGAGTAAAGCTTCAATACCACTACTGGCAAGGCCAAGTGATGGTTCACGGTGGCTTGCCTGTGGCAGACTCTTGGCGCGGCGGCATAGATGTAGGAGGGTTAGACAGATATATAGGGATATTTCTGCATTGACATGAGGTTTGTGTGCTGACGAAAGCTTCGACAGATAATTTTCCGTACTGATGACGCGCTTGATTAAGGATGGCGTCTTCTCGAACTCATTCAGTCGATCCCTCCATGATTTGATGGCGGCTACAGATTCTCTCTCGGTCTTTTCGAGAATAGTGGCTTCCACTGCTTGATGCGCGTTCTGCTTTCCCTTTCCAGGTTTCACATTGGTCTTTTGGTTTCTAGACTTTCCAGGCGCTGGGCTTCTTGGTTGGGGCTCTGAATTGTTCTTGGGGCCTCTGCTGGGCCTGGCATTCTTGTCTGTGACGACAATAGTCTGGCGATCGATAATCTTACCTAATGCACCAGTCAAACTAGCAGAATACACGAGGGTATCTGCCATCAGAAATTGTATTCTTTTCCGCGCCCTTTCCCGCGCCCAGAATGATAGTTTCGGAACGTTTTTATGATCGATGGGTCTCTTAGCATTGTGCCAATGAGTTAAGTCCTGGAAGATTTGAGAGTACGGAATTTCGATTTCCTCTTCGGTATCCAGCTGAACATGTTGCAAGTATTGATCAACTATGGGGTGGCTGAATGGCAGAACTGTCGACATGGCTTGGTCCATCTCACCAGTTGACTGCTTCACTGGCTGCCCAAGCGCTTCAGCCGCGCTATCTGCGGGATGTCCTGGGAGCAAATCCAAAAGTTCAACCCCACTCATAGCTGTGAGTAGCTTAGCTAGTTCTGAAATTTCTGTTATGAGGTCTTCAGGCAGCCGTGGGCCTAAAAAGATCCTGCATGTTTCCAAGTAGAGCCGTCCATCAACTAAGTCATATAGATCCCACTTAGCCACTCCTATGGCATTGCTAGTTCCTATATCGATGATTTCGAGGGCGATTTGACAGAACTCCTTGAAGGTAGTGTGGTACTGCTTCGTCAAGCCAGCCCCTTCCTGTTGGAAGGAGCGCTGTGAGATGGGAATGTTTCGGAGTAAGACAAGTTGCAAAAGGATCAGCATAGCCCCCTTTCTCTTCTTGTTAGATACTCCAGAACTTAGAATGTCGGAGAGGGCATGAAGAGTAACAATATCTCGTGAGGTCAGATCCTTACGCTCATAGATTTCCGGATGGTCCAAGATAATTCTGGAGGAAATATCATTTTGCGCATCATGTTGATCATGCTCAAGAGGCAAAAGTCTTCGAGGAGTTGCAACAGCAACACAAACCTGGGAAATGGTTAGACGAGGACGAGAAGACGTGAAATGAGTTCGAAAAGATGTGAGGCTTACTCTTGAACTCCCGAACGTGATTCCGTCAATGAAGGCTACACAATACCCATAGTAGCACATGTAGTACCCAATCCTCGAACAAGCAATGGTACGAGGGTGGTCATTTGAGCTCCTTGCTCGACCATCGGAGCACATGAAGAAACATTGAGGGTTTTCCAGTAAATATTGTTGGAATCTGTCACAAGTGATGGAATCAAACCGATGACTGAAAGGGGGAGTTGATTGGCGAGCAAAATGCTGAATAAGGACCACTCTAGTAAGCAAATACTTATACTCGAAGTCAGGAGACGTTCCTGGTGGGATGCACAGCTCCTTGTCACTGTCGAACCAGACAACATGGAAGTTGCACCCGCGATCCCTCAGTTTGACTAAGATGGACTCCACAGCGTGGACGGCGTGTAATAGTTGAAAGCCGTATTCGTAATCCACCCGCGCGGAGGAAATGCAGTGTGCAATGAGAGCCTCTCCATGGATAGAAAATAGCTCCTTGCCAGCGAAATCACCAACTATATCAACAGTGATAGGACTCAGGGATTGTCTCCAATGATTGAGTAGCAAGTCGTTCCTTGCACTGTGTGAAGTCGACGAAAATGCCATATCGATTTGTGGACGTAAATCATGGGCGCATATAGGTAGTATCACCAACTGCGACAAGAGAATATTAAGAGTACCTAGGTAAGAATGAAGATATGAAAAAACAATTCTAGAGTTATGAGTGAAAGAATTGTCCTGGACACCAATTCAGTAGCATACCTAACCTAGCCTACCTATAACATCCCACCCTAATATCGCGTTTGCAATTGGGTACAACAAAACAGTTGGGCACGAAATGAGATATGATAAACTGGAAGCAAAGAACATTGGAAATATGCAAGCAACCTTGATAAATCCAACATGTTTACGGCTTTCTACAGAAGCCTCAAGAATATTGAAGATTGATTCGTCAAAGTTCCATCAACAGATGAGGGGAGGTTGCTTTGCTTTGCCATTGTTTATGGGGCTATTCGATGACACGATCCGATTCGAGGCTCTTTCCGCCACTTGATGATAGCACAGTAATACTCATTCGTCGGGGAGGCTTTTTTTCATTTAGATGAAAAGTTCTGCCTTGACGATCCATAATCTTGGAGATTTCTTTTGGGAAAATGCCCAGGTAGATTCGATCTCCCAGACTCGCTTAATTCTTTATTCACATAGGTGTCTGTTTATGGTTTTGGATGTTGTAGAGATAACGGTTCGCGTGTAAGATCCTAGACTCCAAGAAAAGCAATAGGTACCTAGTAGTACTCGGCACGAGAGTGCTGACTTATCATGCGAGTGCAGGACATGGGCCATATCATATATATCCGGTATAGCGGATGCTTGAACGATGCGATAATATATTACTGCAGTTCAATATAGGGCTTGAGCAATGTGAGAGCTCAAAGCATAGACAATGAACTACCAAGAGTCAGGGTTCGGACCAACCCAACTACATCTCCGTGTAGTTGGGTTGGTTATAATACGCGACCCCCTTTGGTGTATTACACCTACCAAAATTGCTGGTGTACACCAAAAGTGGGTCTCGCAAGAATCGTCGGCGCCCTTACCCAAGTTACAGGTTGATGCTATTCCCAACCTCGCCGTCGCGCTCGTCATTGCCGGTGGTACAACCCTGTTAAGCATGGACCCTGTTATGTAGCAACACCACCAAAATTACTAGTAAACACTAACAGTGGCTGTGTAATGTGGCTAGTGTGGCTGGTATCCACTGGATTTAAAGGTGGGTCTGGTGTAGTTGGATTAGGTTGAATGTAATACACTTGGTGTACACCGGTGTAATAGCGTGTAGTTGGTCCAAACCCTGCTAAGAGTTAAGAAAAATCTTAAAGTTAATGTCTTAATACCACTAAGGTAATATGCTACAGCTTAAAATAACGTAAACCTAACAATATCACACCTATTATTAAATAATACGATTATTAAAATAAAAATTATATTAATTAAAAGAGAATAATTTTATAAATAAATAAAAAACTTTAATAAATATGTATAAATATAAACACATTATTTATTAAAATATCACGTAAATAAATTACTTATATAATTAATTAAAAATCATATAACCTTATTTTAACACACCTCTTTAAACTTTGCCATTTTTAGCATTATTTATTTAAACCTAACCGTTTTAAAATTATTTAATTATATTAATAATTTCCTTATTTTTTTAAATCTAAAAATAATCCTTAATATTTATTAATTTAATTTATTAAATAAACTTTTTAAATAAAATATTAATAAATACTTTAATTAATTTATTTATAATTATTTCTTTAATTAAAATATATTATACTTTAATAATATAATGGGATTTAAAAGGTTAAACAATTAATTAATAGAAAATATAAAAAAGAAAAAAAAAGCTAAGCTTTTAATATTTTAAGTTAACTATATATATATAAATAAGGTTTAATTAATTATAGTAATAGTAATTATAAAAATACTTATATAACAATAATTATAGATAATTACGGAAGTGATTATTTACGTTTATAGTTATATTTATGTTTATAATTATATCTTAATATTACCTTTTTTTTAATAAAAAAAATAACGTTTACGTTATTTATTATATATATGTATTAACCTTTAATACGAATCTTTAAATAAATTCGTGTTATTTTAATAATTAAAGTAACTTTAAATAATCTTTTTAACGGGATATATGTGCTTAAGTTATAAGTGGTTAAGGTAATATTAAGTTACTTAAGGCTTTATTAATAGCTTATACGTTAAAACTTTTACGGCTTTATTAATATATAAGAATAAAAATATAAGGAGAATAATGTTTCTAAGATAACTATATTAAATAACTATTATATTAAAAAGTCTTATCGGTTAAAATAACTAAAAATTAAAAATTAATTTTATCGGTTAAAATAACTAAAAATTAAAAGTTTTAATTATATGTTTTTTAATTAAGAAAAGACGTTATGTTTAATGGGTGTTAAATTAACGTCGGATATGTTAAAATAAATTAATATATTTATAAGGGTTAATTAAATTAAAAAAAAATAATTAAATAATAATAAATAAATAATATAAAAATTATCTTAAGTACGTAAATATTTATATAATAATGAATAAAAAATATAATTAATTAATAAAAATATAATTAATAAATAAAAATAAGTAAAATAAGGATATAATTAATAAATAAAAATAAGATTTATAGTTAATTAATAAATAAGGATAAGGTTTATAATTAAGCAATTAATAAAAATATAAGTAATAAATAAGGATAAGGTTATTAATTAATTTTTTAATAACTAAAAAATTTAAGGATTTTTTAAATAAATATATTATTTATCTTTTAAATAAATTAAGATAATATAAGGGTTAAAGGTCTTTTAACCATAATAAAAAATATTACCAAATAATAAAACTTAAAAAGTTAAATAATCAATTAATAAAAAATATAAAAAAGAAAAAAAAAACTAAGCTTTTAACGTCTTAAGTTAATTATATATATATAAATAAAGTTTAACTAGCTATAGTAATAATAATTATAAAAATGCTTATATAATAATAATTATAAATAATTATAAAAGTGGTTATCCACATCTATAACCATATTTATGTCCATAATTATATCTTAATATAATACCTTATATTACCTTTTATTTTAACTAATAATTATATATATTTATATACCTTAACTTAATTTATAACTTTTTTATATTTTTTTATATTATTTTTATAATTTAAATATTATCGCATTAAATAATAATAATAAGTTTTGCTATGTGCACTACTTATTTTTACTATTAAAGCCTTAAGTACATTATTATTAGGTATTATACATCTCATAAATCCCTTAAAACTTTAAATCCAAAGCCGCCTTAGGTTTTTTAGCCTTTTATTTAAATAACTTTTTAACCATATATCGCACCACGATGTAATTAAATTTAATTAAAAGAGGATTTAATTGCTAATTAATTAATCCTAGTTTTAAATAAATACGATACGTGGTTGCAAAGTTATTTAAATAAATAAGTAACAACTTAAAAGACATGTGATTACCTTTAAAGCTACATTAAAAGCTCTTAAACCACGTTAAAAGCCCTTAAGCCATTTAAAGCTAAACCTTATTTAATAGTTTTAATCTTAAATAATTCCTTGAAATATATAGTTATAAACGTGTAATTAAATTTAATTAAAAAAGAATTTAATTATTAATTAATTAATATCGGCCTTAATTTAAAATAATATATAGTTGAAAAGTTATATCGGTAATTATCTTAAAAATAATTACGTAACACTTCTTAACGTAACTTTAAATAACTTTAAGGCTTTTTAACGGCTTTAAAGGCTTTTAACGTGGCATTAAAAGGTTTTAATGTAGCTTTAATAATGGTTATATGTTTCTTAAGCTACCATTTATTTACTTAAATAACTTTACAACCACATATCGTATCTATTTAAAACCGGCATTAATTAATTAGAAATTAAATACGTTTTTAATTAAATCTAATTACACGCTTATAATTATATGTTTTAAAAAGTTATTTAAATTAAATAAATATAAACAATTAAAGCTATTAAAAATGCTAAATTAAGCCCGGATTTAAAGATTTAAAGTATGTACTAGTACTTAATAATAATGTACCTAAGGCTTTAATAGCAAAAATAAGTAATGCATATAGCAAAACTTATAATAATAAATTCATTTAATAATACCCTTAATTCTTTTATTAATTATATAATAAATATCGATTCTTTAATAACTTATAATAATATTAATAACTCCGTTTTTATGGTTAACGTAATTACGATATTTTACTTATTTACTTTTTATATAATTAATTTTTTAAAAAGTTTTATAACATATATTTATAAGCTTTTTTAATTTAAAAAGTTATTTATAAAAAAAGCATTACTTATTACTTTAAATTCGTTTTTTTCTTTAAATTAAAGTTTTAAATTATCGGTTTAATTTATATAATAAAATATATAATCGATTATAACTTAATATTATAATTTAAGGTTTACGAAAAATCGTAATAATTTAAAACAAGTAAATATAATATCTAATTATATATTAAATATTACGTAAAATATTAAACTTATTTTTTTTTAATATTTTATAATTAACTTAAATAATGTTTTTCCTTTATATAATAATAATTCTTCCTTTATTATAAAATATAAAAAATTTTTAAATATACTTATATTTATTAAATTAGTAATTTTATGGTGGTTATATGATAAGGGTATATATTAACGCGGTACGTATATGGTTAGAGGAGGTATTTATATAACTTAAATTATATAAGGAGTTAAATCTTTTTTTTATTTTTAAATCTAAACTTCTTTTTTTAGATATTAATATTATACCAATCTTATCCTTATTGTTTTTATTTTACTTATTATTTGATTTATTATATGTACGTATTTATTAATATTAATTAGTGTTGTTAAATTATTAATAATATAAATTAATAAGGTTAAAAGAGTTATTATTGTGATAATTTAGAAGATCTTATTATAATAATATAAGCGATATTAGTAATTATTTTTTTAACGTTTATATTTTATTTATAATAAAATATAAT